ATCCAAGAGCTGCTTTTCCCTCCAACGTCAAGTGAGATGAGAAGGGTTTCACATGGGGGAGATGCTTTGGGCTCAGAATTGCTCAGGGACACTGAAATTTTGGTGGTTGAGAGGCTTTTCCCCATTTCAGTGACAAGAGTTCAGAGCAGTGGCTGGAGCCGTGAGTGCTTGGAAAGCCATGAATCCAGGTATAGCCAGGGTTGGGATATCTGCACACAAAGGGCTTCAGAGGAGACTCCTCAGAGCTGATGGGAGACTGCCAAAGCACAGAGCTGCCACCTGTATGTACCTTTTATCAAGAAAAAATTGCAATTGATTTGACTGCTGTGCCAGTGCTGCATTGTGTGTGTGGGTAATTCCCAGGTAGTCTGGCTAGCACAAAGCAGAGAATGCACATAGATTACACTGAAAACAAATAAAAATTATAATCTCAGGGGTCCAATCTAATTTTTACTATTTATTTCCTAGGGAAAAGTCAAATGCTTCAGCATATAAGGCAACTTAGAATATGATATTTTTACTTTTGTTCCAATTTCTCTCAGCCATTTGCACTTCTTTGGTTGATCACAATGGAGTTGAAACATTCAAAATTGTCTTTTAAAACCTTTTTCTAGGGAAGACCTGGTGGGTTTATATTTGCTGAGTACCTTTTTTGCAAGCAGCATTCTATTTGCATGAAAGCCTAGAATATCTTGTTAATAAAAAAGTCCCAGCTCTTCCTGAAGCTGTGACTTTTACAATTGGTGTGATGACAAAGTGGAAATTATCTCAGACTAAATCTGGATGATTGTGCTCTCTAGTGACACAGCCAGGCATTTTTTCTTTCACTTGGACAAAACCCAGCCTTTTTCACATTATTTTTCCTCTCACTTTCACAGAATCACAGAACCAGAAGGACGAGGCACGAAGTAAAGTAAAAGTAAAGAGGCAGAGGAAGGGCGGGGAGGAAATGAGCACTTTGAGTCCTGAAAGTAGTTTCAGTTTAAGCAGGGGACCAATTTTCAGGTTACATGTTGCTTTTAACCCTCTCTGCTGCTCTAAAACAGGGGGATGCCTCTGGCAGGGGGAGCCATGAAAGTGGGAGTGAAAGGGATCATCTGCACCGAAACCGCCGTGTGTTGGTTTTCCCCCCACCTCAATCTCTCTATCTGTGCTGGTGTCTTTCTCTCTTTCCTCTTTGCAGCACAGAATTTACAGTAAAAACACAGGAAGCTGAATGATTTCCTCTGAGGAAAGTACCTGACGGAGAGGTGAAGGAGCAGAGTCATCAGCAGGCCCTTTGAGCCATCCCTGCCCATGCAGTCAGTGATACTTTCAGGAGGTGCTGCCTTGGAACCAGACATCTTGCAGGTGGTTTTTGCCAGGTCAGGCAGGCTGGCACAGGAAGATTGGCTTTTTTCCTGTGGCAATCCCAGAAAATGGAGTCCTGAATTTGTGAGTAGCAGTTGGTGATTTATGAATAACAGCAGATATTTATTTATTTGTGACGCTGCACTTTGTGCACCCAAAACCACTTAACCACAGTCATTCTGCCCACAGTGGTGTGGAGGCCCCTCTGTCCCTCCAGGGAATGTGAGATGGCCCTGGGGACGGACAAAGAAGGCACTTAGGGAGGGACAGGCACATTTTTAGCTGTCCTTCCCACAGGACAAACCTGTCCTTCCCAAAGGAGCTGAGCTGGGAAAGCCAGACAGCAGTACTAAGAAAGGAGACCTGGGCCCCCTCCATTGCAAGACCCCTTGGAAAAGCTCAGCCCAGACTTCCGAAATTTCAGAGGTCTTGAAAGGGGACTTTTGCCCTAAAAATACCCAAAGCCTTATCCCCAGTGTCTGAAAGGGAACAAGTGAGTAACCCTGCAAGATAGCATCTCAGAGAGACCATGAGCTCCCCACACTTCACGAGTGACTAAAGCTGAAGTGGATTTTTCAGCTGAGTAGGCCTAAATGTAGGAGTGGAAGGGATACAGAGATGGGTACAGCACCAGCCTCTTTATTTTGCAATAACTTCTCCTGTCCAATAACTCCTGCCTCCTCCAGGAAACTTTCCTTTAGCTTACACAGCTGTTGAAATGCCTGTGTGGGGTTACATTTTCCTGCTGCAGCCTCCACTCGGGATCTCATTGCCACTGCAAAGTGCAACAGGCCTGATTCATTTTGCAGCAGGAACATGATTGATGCAAGCCCGGATGGAGACTCATTCTCAGCCCCGTGGAAATTCCTCACTAAGGCTGCAAGTCAAGTGAAAACCTCACTGTACATCATCAGGTTGTGTTTCTACTCCTAAACCTTTGGGATGGAGCCAGGAACAGCTTGTGAGCAGGCGAGGGTGACCCAGAAAGCCGGAGCGGTTCTTACATCATCTTTTATTCTGGTTTTGTCTTTTGGTTTTTGCCTTTTTTTTTTTTTTTCAAATTTTTTTTGCTGAGAATCGTCTTTCCCTCTCACCTACACCAACTCCTTCACCTTTAGATTGAAGGCCTGATTAAGATGTGTGTTTTTCCAGGGCCCTCCAAGAATAAAGATCATCCGTGCAGTTCCGGCTGAGCTTTGCTTGCAGTCTCCTGCTGACAAACCACACCTTGTTTATCAGGACCAACATTTGTTGAACACACACATAGAGCTGCTGGAGCTCTGAGGGCTGAGATTTCTGTACCTGCTGGGGAAATCACTGGGGGAAAGTGGAGGAACAAAGGCTGGGGCCGACTTATTTAAAAGAAAATGTTAAGGCAGTGCTGAACAGGAGCTCCAAAGCTGCTGGGGTGGGTTCATGTCTCCTGTATTTTCATTTTACATTATTTTACCCACTTCCCATTAAATAAATGGTATCATTTTGTCAATTCTCTGTGTTTGTAACACTGTGAAGAATTATTCTCTGCCTTGAGCTCCTGATGGAGTGCAGAGAACCAGCAGCAACCAGCCAAGCATCACCTCAGCAGTCCCAGCTCTATTCCTGGGTCATCTTGTTCTCATCCCTGGAAGTTGGAAATAAAAAGTGGCAAGGTGCCTGTGAGGCTGATGCCACCTCCTTGCCATTTTCTGGGATCAAGCTGCTGCTTGTTGATGACACTTGAACATTTCTAGTCTGCTTTCCTTTCTAATCAAATTGTAGTAGAAAATGTTCAGTGGGTCAAGCACAAAGAGTGCTGAGAAGAAGAAGAAGAAGAAGAAGAAGAAGAAGAAGAAAAGAAGGAGAAGGAGAAAAGGAAGAGGAAAAAAAAAGGAAAAAAGGTACTGCCCCTTCAGAGTTTAACAGCCCCAGGATTAACATGGCAGCTGCAAGAAGGTTTTTCAAGGCTGCAGTTTTGGATTCAGGTAGTGAAGCCTGAGACCAAATGAGTCGCAGGGGCAGCCACTGGATCACTGAGTACTCAATTTCTTGTTTTCCATGCTCTCTGACCCTCAGTTATGCTCAACTGCTTTTAGAGTAAACCAAGCCAAACTTGTAATTTGATTGAAGAGACATCCTTGGGCAGGAAAGATGGGGAATTTGTGTTTTCTGTCACAAATCACTGGGCTACTTATTCACTACTGAAGGCTCAGGTGAGATTCCCTGGCTTTCTGGTGACATCCAGCTCAGCAATGGGTGAGATCAGTTCCCTTGGCTGGAATTCCATCACGAGAGGAGGTGATTGAGCTGCACCCAGAGATGATGCAGCAGATGTGGGTGCTCCAGTTCAGCTGACACCAAGGTGACACCTCTGTGGCAGAGGGAAGAATTTAAGGTATCTGTCATCTCCCACATCACCCTGCAGTGCTCTAATCACTGTACACTCATGCCTGGAGTCAGAAACAACCACATCACTTAGCAGTCCAAGTCTCACAAAAAGCCAGGGATTGAATAACTTGAAAGCTGCCATCAGCCTCACTCCCCCAAATTATGCATCCAGCTGACTTCTGCCCACCTGGCTTGAAGTTTTCACCTCACTTAAGAAACCCAAGCATGAATTCTTTCTCAGACTGTAGTTAAGGTTAGGGCAGTGACACTGGAAAAGGAATTTTCCATCCACTTGTCTCAAAAATACCTCATGGATACAGTCCTAACCTCATAAACCCCTCTCATGCCCCCAGATATCGCCTTCAGTGCCTTTTGGACCTAAAATCTGGCTGAGGAAATAATTTTGAAGCCCTTCCTCTCCTGCCCCCTTGAGGCTCCCAAGCTGCTTCATCACATTAAGGACGAACCCCGGCACTGAGACTTGGCAGGTTCATGAACAGATTTCAAATTTGAGCATGTTTTTAAACTCTTCTCACGAGTTACAAACAGGAAAGAGGGAAAAGCCAATGAATTTCCCTTCCAGGAGCCCATGGTGGAGCTGCTGGTCCCAAATCAAGCTTGTGTCAGCTCTGAAGGGTGTTTTGGCAGGTCTGACTCCAAGGATTTGCCAGCTTCCCTCTCTCAATGGGGATCATGGAGAATACCAAGCAGGGCATCTGTCAGTGAGTAATTACAGGAAATATCAGCTTCCTTTTGTGCAGCGTGTTTGACTCCTGTCTGGGGCGAGGCACAAACCTGAGCCTGTCTCCAGGAGCTCTTCGGATCTGCCAAGGTAAATGACACCAGAGGCAGAGCTAGACAGCTCTGGGATGTTACCAGAAATGAGGAAATCATCCCATAAATGTCACTTCTTCCTCTGACTGTCTGCAAACAGACTGCCAGAGCTTTCCAGTGCCCAGAAACACTGATCCAGTGCCATTTCCTCATAGCTTGAAAAGCATCTGGAGAGCAGAGCATATTTCTTCGTTACTGGATTTGTTCTCCTTTATGCTGACTATCATTTACTGTGATGAACACCTAGGAAGGGTGATTAATTACAGATAATTAATTTAATATAGTGCTGCGAGTGCCCTGGAGGGTCAAAGGAAATTTATGCTCCCCGTGCAACACAAACAACGTTCAGGAGTGTAACTTCAGCCAGGAGTGAGGCAAGAAACATTTACAAAACATTTGCAAAATGTTTGCAAAATGCAATCTTGAAGTAGGTCAGAGAGACTGGATTAAAACAAGAGATCTTTTATTGTCTTGAACTGCAGGGTGTGATACAGAGGAACTACATGGATTTTCATTCATATTAAAAAAAAATAAAAAAAGAGAGCCCTTTATTTACACAAGTGTTCAAACTGCCCATGGTACCTAACAACAACTCTGGGTTCTCTTTGTTTTGCTTTGTTAGTTATTCCCACCTAGATGGAGCAAGCATTGGTCAGTAGCACTTAGAAAAACATGGAAGAAGCTCTTGGGCAGGAAAAAAAAAAGAATTCTCTTCTGAAAGAACCCAAATCCTCATGGGCATTTCACTGTAACAAACCCACCAGAATAATTACAACCAGTCACTGACAAAAAGGAACAGTTTTCAGTAGGGGCTCAGCAGCCTAATTCATCTCAGTCTGTCTTTATTTCCCCATCTAAGTAAATATATCCTGGACATGCACAAACTCCACATGGATGAAAAAAAAAAAAAAAAGTAGAAATTTATTTAAAAGTAATTGTGCTTTTATTTATAAAAAAAAAATTTACAATCAGACACTGTCCTGCTGTGTTTCCAAAAGCATGGTTCTCTTAAAAATGACAAAATGTAGCTTATTATTATTATCATTATTATTATTATTACTTTGTCTTTATATTAATAATATTAATCTTATGTTTAAGTTTAAAAACCTACTGCTTTCCCTTCCCATTCCCTCCTTCTCTGTGGTACTTGATATATATAAAAAAGGCATTCACACCACCAATTATTTTAACTTATAACTAATAATAATAATAGTGATAATAATGATAATTAATCTTACACATTTCTGTGTGTAAAATATGGCTGGTTCTAAAACAAACTACCAATGTACAAAGCTGTTCTCCCTCCCCTCCCCTGGGCCACCCAAGAGATCGTCAGATGTCGGAAGAACTTTATCCCAGACGCTTTCTGGCAAAAAAATAAAAAAAAAATTAATAAAACAACACAGAACCCTTGAGATCGTTGTCTTTGGTGTGGAGGACGTTCCTGGTGGGCAGCTGGAGCTGCTCTGCTGGAAACTCTGGGATGCTTTAAGGCTTTTTTTGTTTGGAATGCTGCAAAGCCTCTGCTGGCCGCGGCTCACCGATGCTTTGGTACCAGTCCCAGCTCCTCACAGCCCCAGGCCAGCAATGCCCGAGGGTCTCCCCACACCCCCCTCTCCATCCCCTCCCCTGCCCCTGCCCACAGCCCCCGGGCTCTACGCTCGCTTCCGACGCCCCTCCAGGTTCCGGAAGCTGGAGGGTCTCAGCTTCATCTCTGCAAACTGGATGGAATACTCGTGGCCCTTCCAGTGGAACCAGTTGACACCCTGTGAAGGCAAAGGAAGAGGTTGGAGGTCACACTTTTATTTGCTGCTCCTGGTTCAGACTGGAGAAGTTTCTGGTTTGGGTATAGAGGCACCATGAAGTGGAGGAGCTTTGGGAAGCACAGGGGCTGTGGAATGTCCAACCTGTACAAACCCACCCACACGAGGTCACAAAATGCTGGAAATACACACTGGATGGGCTGGAAGGGACCTTAAAGATCATCTTGTTCCACTCCTGCTGTGGGGAGGGACACCTTCCACTATCCCAGGCTGCTCCAGCCTGGCCTTGGACACTGCCAGGGATCCAGGGGCAGCCACAGCTACTCTGGGCACCCTGTGCCAGGGCCTGCCCACCCTGCCAGGAAAGAATTTCCTCCCAGTATCTCAGCTAAACCTATTCTCTGTCAGTGTGAAGCCATCCCCCCTTGTCCTGGCACTCCAGGTCCTTACAAATCTTCTCTCTCCATCTTTCCTGTTGGCCCCTTCAGGCCCTGCAAGGCCACACTGAGCTCACCCCAAACCTTCTCCTCTCCAGGTGAGCAATCCCAGCTGTGCCAGCCTTCCCTCCCAGCAGAGCTGCTCCATTCTCTGATCCCCTGGTGCCTCCTCTGGATCTCTCCAGCAGTGCCAGCTCCTCCCTGTGCTGGGCCAGGGTTGGGGCAGCTCTGCAGGTGGGGTCTCACCTGAGCCCAGGGCACAGGGGCACAATCCCCCTGCCCTGCTGCCCACGCTGGGCTCAGCCCAGGGCAGGGGGTTCAGGGCTGGGGCAGCTCCAGCTCTCACCCCCAGCACCCCCAGGTCCCTCTCCAGGGCTGCTCCAGCTGCTCATCCCAGCCTGGATTGATCCTGGGGTTGCCCTAAGCCAGGTGCAGCACCCTGAGCTTGATCTTGTTAAAACTCTGTCACTCAGAGCTGTCCCTCCTTGCCTGGCTTTCATGGGAGGAGAAATATTTTTGTTTCACATGTTGAAAACTACAGTTATTCCCTGCACGGTTGGGATATTGCCTTGGAAAATCAGACACAGCCAACAAGATTGTACCAGCTGATGTTAAATTCCTGTTTTGTGAGCCCATACATTTCCCTATGTTCCTGGAGAGTGGGGGAAGAGATGCGGTGATTTTTGGCTGGCTGAACCATCAGAAAAACCCATAATTGCAATTTCCCTTCCTCTCATGCATTAGAGAAGCCTTCAGAGCCAAACTCACCTGACTGTGGCTGTTGTCACCATATCTGCCCATCAGGTTGACTCGGTGACAGTTCTTGTACCAGAAAGCTCCTTTGTATGACAGAGCACAGTTGGTGATGGCAGAGTCGTGGTCTTTGTCAAAGGTGGAGAAGGACCTTCCATTGTGGTAGGTCATGGAGTCACCTGGATGGAGGGGGCAAAAGAAAGAGCAAGGTCAGTGGGTTGCCTGGTTTAGCTTTCATGAAAATATTTGGACTGTGCCATGCCCTGTCTACATCTAAAATTTTTAAATTTGACTTTTTTCATACAGAGAGAAATGCACAATTTTTGGTTTTGCAGGCAGGTCAAAATATTTTTTCATGTGGTCTCTAATTCCCAGTATATGAAGTGGTTTTTTTTTCCATGCAGGCCAATTTCTATACTTGCTAACAGCTGGATTTTCCAGTGTGGACAAACCAAGACCAAAGAGGTGTTCACAAGGAAGGAATCAAGATCAAAAGAGTCTCTATACTCACTGAATCTTACTCATGATAGCAGTTACTACTACTCTGCACTAGACAATTTGCCTTAAATCACAGAATGATGGAATGGTTTGGGCTGGAAGGGATGTTAAAACTCATCTCATTCCACCCCTGCCATGGCAGGGACATCTCCCACTGTCCCAGGCTGCTCCCAGCCCTGTCCAGCCTGGCCTTGGGCACTGCCAGGGATCCAGGGGCAGCCACAGCTGCTCTGGGCACCCTGTGCCAGGGCCTGCCCACCCTGCCAGGGAAGGATTCTTCCCAATATCCCATCTAAATTAAATAGACATTAATTCTGCTGCTGCATTTCCTTTGTATCTCTGTAGTCTGGGTAAAAGCTCCTGTGCTGGTCACAGGGCAGAGCCCACACCCACACCTCTGCTCTGGTTTATGCACCCAGCAGTGTGAAATTATCTCCTTTTAAGACATATTGTTAAACTGGATTTATCTCTTAATCCTCTGAAGCCCTGAAAAGGATTCACCAAGGGCTGCAGGGTTTGCCCCAGTGTGATTATAAAAGGCAGATGATTTGTTCAGCAAAATCATAAATCACATTACAGCAGGGCTTTGCTGCAAATTCTACTGACAGGAGAAGAAGCTGTGCCAGGCTATTATTGGCTGTATAAATGACAGCCAAGATTGGCCAAATGAGATATATTGTGGTTTAATACACTTGTTTCAAACCTGCCATAATCAGGCCATAAAATATGGCACAGAGGATATAAATGCCTAGAGGATATAAAACGGAAACATAAATATATGGATATGTTTGATTTTTGAACACCTCACTGTCCTGGCTTGTAAGATATGGTTTGGGGGTGTGTATTTCCCATCTGTCAGAGCTGGGGCAGTTCTCCTCTGTGCATTGGGCAGTTTTTTCTTTCTCTCTCCCACAGCCAATCCTCCCTCCAGGAGATCTCTGCTGTCCATGGCCACTGAGTGTCCCTGCATGGCTGATCAAATTCCAGCATCCCATGGGGAGATGCTCCACCCAGGGCAGGAGCCAAGCATTCCTACCTGGATACAATCTGAGCCTGGAACAGCACAGCAGCCTTTGCCCACTGCATTCCCAGAGGAGCAGCTTTCTCCTGCCCTGCATTCCCAGAGGGAGAGCAGGCCCATCTCCAGCAGCCCTGGAGCTTCAGAGGAAAACTCCAGCCTTGTGCAGGATCCCTGCTCCAGCAGAACCACAGCTGGCACTGCAGGAGGGCTGAGCCCCCATGGGATGGGACTGTGCCACCATCCTGACACACAGGGGGACAGCTCCTGCTCTGACTCTGGCAGTGTTGTTTTATATTACTGCATTGTTTATTTTATTTTTAAATTTTCTTCCCTAATAAAGAACTGTTATTCCTTCTCCCATATCTATCCCTGAGGGCGCCTTAATTTCAAAATTATAATCACTTGGAGAGAAGGTTTACATTTTCCATTTCAGGGGAGGCTCCGGCCTTCCTTAGCAGACACCTGTCTTTTCAAACCAAGACACTCACACAGGAGAGGCACCTGCTGATCTACAGTATTCACACAGTTTCCTTGAGTTAATGGGAGGAATTAGGAGCAGGGAAAGTCAGTTTTTGCTCTCACCTGCTGTGCCGCTGTAGCCATCCACGCGCAGGCGGTAGCGGCTCTTGGCGTCGCCCACGCTGAAGCGGTCATACACGGCATAGGCTGTGTCCCCCTTGTCCCTCAGGTCCACCCGCAGTTCATACAGGCCCTGAGAAGTGATTTTGTGCAGGTTCTCCAGACCTGTGGGCAGGAAGGAATGTTTGTATTGATGCTGAATGGTTTTTTGCCTTTTTTCTTTTCTGAATTCTCTATATTCTTTATACACACATTTGGAGCTCTGTAGCCTATTGCTGCATTCCTACTTGGTTTTCCCAGTGCTTTTCCCTACCTTTTCCCTAGGCAGAAAGACAAAACACATTCTAAAGCCCCTACCCCATCTTGGTTCTCCCTGGGAACCAAAAAAAACCCTCTTTGAGACTCATTTTCATCAACAAAGTTCAGTTCCATCTGAGGGGGGAGGATTTTGAAGGGGCTTGAACTGGGGGGAGATTGCATCACCACTTGTGCTCCTAATTGGTGGTTTTGTCAATTATGCTAATTTGCAAAATTTATAAAAACTGTGTTCACCCCCTGGGGGAGGGGCTTTTGTGGACATTTTCCATATTCACCTCTAGAGGCCTCCAATAAAGATCAACCTTTACATTGCTCCTATACTAATGTTATCTCAAAACGGTGCTGTTTGATTTCCAGGTTCCTTAAGGCATCAGTCTCTCCATGTTTTTTACTTTGTTTTGGTGGGTTCAGTGCTGGTCACTGAACCCAAAGCCATTCAAAGTACTGGACATTGCTGAAATAGAGAAGTGGCCAAAGCTCTCCCTCCCATGCAAAACCAGGACATTTGCCATGCCATTACTCCATAAATGGGGCCATACTGGACTGTACAAACAGAGGACACCAGCACTGGTGAGGACACTGAGCTGGATCAGCTCTAGGGTAATGTCAGCACAAAAGCAAATAAATAGTCCCAGGCTGACTGGGAGAGATCTTCCCTTCAAATAATAGAAACAGGCTGGACAAAACAACCAAAGTTGTGCTGTGTGATCATCATCATCATCATCATCATCACCATCATCATCATCATCTTCTTTCATTTACAATCAGAAAAATGCAGCACAACCTTTGAAAATGTGGAGGGTTTACCTCTGTTTTACCAAAATGTGAGTTTATGACTTCTATTTGCCTTCTTTTCCTCTCTGGATCATCAGCCTTTGCTGCTGGGGGTGTCCCAGGAGGACAGGAAGCAGAACGTGCTTCCCAGGTCACCTCTGACTGTTCCCAGAGCCCCAGGGAGCACTGGGTGGGTTCATTTGGTGACCCCAGCATGGCACCTTTGAACTGCAGCTGGGGGACTGGCTGAGCCTGGCCCTTTCAGTCTCCCTCTGTAGGGTGTCCCTGGCTGCTTTTCTCCTGTTCCCCTTTACAAATATTCCTGCCAGCTAAATGAAGGCCTCTCAGTAGCTCCTGGACTTTTGGGCTGTGCTTCTGTTTTGTTTTTTGGGTTTTTGTTTTTCAAAAATACAAATTTTCAGCACTTACCTATCCAGAATTCATCCTTAGGATCTCCAAACCCTGCCACGTAAGTATTCCAGTTCTTGTAGAAATCTTGCTTTCCATTCTGACGCCTCAGGAACACCTAAAAGCAGGAAATGTTATGGACAGACTGCCCTGACCAGAGGGGAAGAGCTTTTACAAACACAGAGCTGAGCATTTCTCCTGCCCTGCCTTTACCCCTCCCAGCAGAGCTCACTGCAAGGACTAAGTTGCACTCAGGTTTTTGGATGCTCCATGTATTTTTTAAGTCTCCAATTTCTCTGTATGGTTCTCAGGCTCCTCTGCATGATGTGGCCTCTCAGTTCCTGCTTTCTGCCCTTTTAAACCCATCCTGCAGCTCTGGATTTCTCAGCCAAGGGTTTTGCCATCCCTCATCTCCCAGCCAAGCATTCCTCCAGCTCCTCCTGCCTTTCTGTGCCCTGGCTCCCTTTGGCATGTTCAGATTTGGGGATGTCAGTGTGGAGAGGTAGCATTTACTGCCATTCCTTTGTTGGCTGGGTGGGATGTGTCCCTTGCACTGTGGCTTTGGAAGCCACTGCACCCTGTGGCTGCTGAACAAATGCTTCCCCTGGGCCATGCTTTAACCTCCCTCACTCCCTCTCTCAGTCAGACAGAGTCAGTTAAACCCCCCCTCTCCTTGGTGATTATTTAGAAGACATGTTATCCAATATGGTCATTTCAGCAGCCCTTCCACCAGTGGAGAGAGATCAGGGCTGAAACCAGGGGTGTGACCCATCCTTTGGAGACACCTCTCTCCCCTGCAACTACGGAAAGAGCTGGCAACCCTGCACTGGAGCATCCTACTGTCATAGTTTTTCAAGAGGGACTTATCTGCCTAAGTGAACTGAAGAAAGACTGTCTTAGAGGTGGCAAACTGACTGGAAATTTTAAGTTTTGTTTATTTACATTGTCAGTGGAAAAGGAAAGGTTGTGGGGAAAGGAAAACTGTTCTGAAGGGTTTGTTTAAATTTTTACTTTTTTTTTTTTTTTGTGTTACTCTTAATAAAATTTTCTTTATACCCTTTTAAGGTTTTGAGCCTGCTTTCCCTTTCTCCTAGTCCTACCTCACAGCAGGAAGTGAGTGCACTGGTGATTGGCCAGCACTGAACCCACCACACTCATTGGTGCATTGGCTGGGAAACCTCAAAATTGGTGAAATCTCAAATTGGTGAACCAAAACTGCTACACCTACTCAGGATAAAACTCCCCAGTTTTACAGACATGGCAGCCCTACTGTGATAATAACACTCTGAGGGTGCCTGGGATGAGCAGGATGGGATGTGCTGCCCCGGCCCCATACTCACGATCCAGCCGCCCCCATCCTCGCCCATGTCACAGAACACTTGCAGAGGCTGAGCCTTGTCCCCGTTCAGGTAAATTGTGTAGAGCCCAGAGGTGGCTTCTCCATTCAGCAGGGCCTGGGAGCAGTCCTTGGGGTAGGGATAGAGGAGCCCAGCTGCACACACAGGGAAGAGAAAGCATTCCTTAGGAAATCAGCAGTTACAAGGAATGTGCTCAATGCAGATGGCTGAGGAAAATCCCTTATGGGACAGCTACAGATCCCAGGAACAGGTTTGTAATTGCATCCTGCATACAGAACATCCACAGGATACAGCTGGTGAGGTGAATTCTTCTTTTGAATGTGGTTTTTCACATCTGTCTGCACTTCTGGAAGTGCTGGGAATGTGAGATAACTACTCCCTGCTAGGATGGCAGTGCATCCTCCAGCTAAAAGCTGAAATTCAGGAGCTGTGTTACAGCAATTTTTGGGGAAAAACAAATCTACCAATCTCTGCTCATGTGACAGAAAATGGAAGGGGGATACAAAGACAGGACTTTGATCAAAAATAAATTAATTGTGAGTGTTTTGCTAGCAAGGACAATATTAAATGTGTTATAAAGCTACACTCCTAAAAAACAAAGCAAACAGCAACATTTGAAACTACAGGAAAATGTTGTTAAGCTTTTCTTTCTGACAACAAGGCAATAAAATCATTGCAGTCAGAACAATTTCTAACCCCCCTAAAAAACCCTTTCTTTTTTTGTTTTTATTCACTCAGGTCATTAACTTTTTCAGCCAATTAAGTGTTGTTCCACGTGAGTCCAAAGAAGAGTTTTTACCTGCAGCTTCTCACAGAGTGGCTGCTGGTCCTTGCCAGTGTTACACATCCCTGCCTGTACTTCAGCTCCAGAGAATTTCCCAGAATCATGGCATTGTTAAGGTTGGAAAAGACTTTAAGATCAAGTCCAACCATTAACACAGTCCCACCATCATGTTCACCACCATGTCCCCAGGGGCCACCTCCACATGTATTTTGCAGGGATGGGGACTCCAACACTGCTTATTCCAATTCTTTACAGCTCTTTCCATGAAGAAATTTTTCTGATATCCAATCCGAACCTCCCCTGGTGTGATTTGAGGCCAAGCAAGTTTCCACCAGCTTTGGGATTTGGAGAAAAGGGCTCCTTCAGTGTTTCCCTGTCACTAAATAGACACGAATGTATTTTTGGAGTTAAGGCCAGTCTTAAGCCTCTGCCTGAATGAATCTGACACTGTTCACATAGCTGAAGGCACCTGGTCAGTTCCTACTCGTGGTCAATTTGCCAAACATCACCTAAATACACCCAGATTGAATTCCTGTCCTCTTTCTGGATGAATTGGTGACTTCATCCTGCTCTGCACAAGCAGTGACAGGGCAGACTTGGGGCTGGGGGACTTCTGGCAGTCCTTGGGCTGGAGTTGGTGCCAGCAGCAGGAGGGGAATGGGAATGACTGAAGGTCCTGCTGGGCCTGAAAGGCTGAAAACTGGGAAAAATGAGACAAATGACAGGCAAAGTGTCACAGCTAATACAGAACAACTCCTTTTTTTTTAATGTCAGATGTGAAGTGACCTTCAGAGAAGCCAATTTATCCTTGCAGAGCTGCCCTGTTGGGCTGGAGCTGACATGCAGAGGGGCTTTGAGACAGCCCATCTCAGAAAGGGGAGAAAAACCTGCCCAGAAATCCATCTGCTCAGCCCCCAGCACTGATTTGTGTGGGCCTTTGTGGTTTGCTTCATTTCAGCTCCAAACTCTGATTTGTTTTCCCTGCTCGCTGGGATCAATACAGGGAGAAATCTAAGTGTCAGCTGGATTTTAAAGAATTCCTGCTGATATTTCACATGGGCAAGGAAGGATGTTAAACCAGACTGTGAGGCTGATGTGGATGGATATTGGGATTTCATCCTGCCAAGGGAAAACAGGTCTGGGGGAACAGGGACTTTGCACCAACACTACAAATGGATTAAAATCTTGTGTGGGGTCTGTGTCCTCACAGCAGAGCTCAGCAGTATTTAGATTATTTTAGATTAGTATTCAGTATTATTTTAGATAATTCAGATTATTTTAATGTGCTTACTGCTGGTGAAAATGGTCTGGATGGTTTTGCTCCTCAGGGCTCCACTCAGGGCCTGCAGTTTCACTGTGTACTGCGTGGAGGGACTCAGCTCTGTCAGGCTGTAGGAAGTTGTCTCGGGGTTTAGGATGACTTCCTGTGGAGAAAAGAAATAATACAGGGAAATCTCAGAGAAATAAATCATAATGACCAGAATGGTTACATATTTTGGTCTGTCACTTTTTTTTTTTTTTTTTGTCATAATCATTGATGGTACCTTTAACCATCTGGATTAATTAATATAAAGCTACTCCAAGCTAATCTTTAAAAGTTCAATAAAGCCTGCCTGGAAATGAATGTTTACCATCATAATGTATAGGCTGGGAGGTTTGAAAGCAAGGCAACATAAATGTTTACATGTCCTGAATGTACAGATTGTGAAATTCATTAAAAAATGGGGAACTCATCATTTAGGACAGGGAAATGTTGCAATACAGGCTTTAAAAGGCAGTTTTGCTGTGACATTAAAAGACTGATTTTCAGTGTGCTTGAGGAATTTGCCTTCCTGAAAATTAGAATCCTCTCCATTGATCCAGGCTGGGCATCCAAAATTTTCTTTTTTCTGGGATTTACCTGATTTACATTTTAGCATTTATTATTATCTAATTATGTAGGAACAAATTAAAATTATAGGAGAATAAGAATTACTTCCACAGGCAGTTCATCGTTCCTTAGACACCCCTTTGTGTTGCCGTGTGTCATCATGGGGTGCCTCAGTGTCCCTGGCTTCTCCCTGAAGTTTCCTTCCCCAGGTGGGGTGTCAATCACCTCTCCCTTCCCCCACCCTGACTCCTGCTGGGCACTGTCTATCAACCCAGAAATTCCAGGGGAGCACCAAGTGATTGGCAGGTTCAAAGGATGCTCTCCACCCCCTGGGGGGTCATTGGCCCACCCAGGTGTCCCTCTCACCTGAGACCCCCTCCCCTGTGCCTGGCTGGTGCTCCCTGTGTTCCCTCCCCTGGATAAAAGGATGGGCACACCATGCTCCTGAGGGGTTGTTACTGCATTTAGAGGCCATGTGGCCCATAATGAAAACCCTGGATTAACCTCCATGAGGACCGACTCCTTCTTCACCGTCGCCTTAAAGGGTTTCTCCAGCACAGGGAGGCCTGAGGAGTGACCCTCTTCTACCAAGGAGCCCCAGCCATAAGCACTGGAGCTCAGCATGCCCGGACTCGGCCCCACATGCTCAGCTGCAGCTCACAGCTAGCCAGAGCATCTCTGGGGTGCAAAACACCACAGGTGCCGCTGTTTGGCTCAGCAGCAGGGACCAGACAAGCCAAGGTATGTCCCATTCAGTAATATTGGTAAAATCCAATACCTTTGCACAGGGATTTCCCCTGAGTTCAGAAAAGTGAGTCACATCCTTTGGGGGTGTGAGTTTACTCCATGATACAGGTCTGGAATGAAGGAAAATGTTTGTGCTTTTATCTGTGTTGTGGAGGGATGAAAGGCAAAATTCAGTCTTCAATGGAGCTTCTGTTTCAGGGTATAATGTAAGAAAGTCCTTTAGGAGGTTTTAAATGCATTTGTGTTCAGTCTAGCACTGAAAGAGACAGTGAGTAGTTTTAAATTTAGTGTTTAAATTAAGGCACACAGTTATGCTGTGTTGCTGGACACTTCAGAGCATCTCCACTGCCCAGATTTGAGGCACAGCCCCTCAGGTTTATTTACCTTGACTCTGCCATCAATGGATTCATAGATCAGGAGATATCCAGTGACTGGAGCACGGGGAGGCCTCCAGCTCATCACAGCTGCTTCTGACTGCACCTCGGTGGCACTCAGATCCCTTGGAGCATCCAGCCCTGCAGGAGACACCACAGCAATTACAATCACATCCACACAATGTGAATTCCACAGGTTATCTTGTGGGCCGTATATTAAAACAAGCCAGGTAAACAAACCTTCTCTCCAGAGAAATTTGAAATGAAAAAAACATTTCAACCTTAACTTTTGTGGTTAAGAATTAATTTTCCCATTGGTAATTTAAAATAAAGGTGTTAACTTTATCTAAGTTAAAATATTGCCTTGTTCCAGGCACCTTATTTTATGAGCAATTGCACTAAAATGTCTTTTGAGACAAAATTGTGCATTTCCTTATTTCTCACAAGAAGACAGATTGGTATTTACATATTCTCAGGAAATAAAACTCTGGTTTCCAATTATGCTTTTTTAGAGTAGGAAAACTTTTGAGAATAGGAAATCTTTATAGAATAGGAAAACTTTTCCTGCTTGGTCTGGCTCCAGTCTCCAGCTTCTCTTCCCCTCTGTGATTACAGGACTGGATTGGTGTGGCTCCCTAATTAATACCCAGGGACAAGCCAAGGCAGGAAAGTGAGAAACATCCCTGATCCCATTGATGCTCATTGAAAGCCACGAGTGTGAAACCAGCCAGGCACCTTCAGCAGCCAAAGAAGAGCTCCTGCTCTGTGATTCTGCAGAACTGGTGATCTCATATTTTTATAAGTTTTGGTCCATTTGCATATTGGATTTAATTGTCCAATTACAGCTTTAGCTTATGAAGTCCCATCCTGCTTGTTTTTCTCTCTTCATTCCATTGTTTATGCTCTTGGGACTGAAATTTGGATAATTTGTCCTTGGTCCCTGGCACTGTTGAGTCAGGGACAGAAAGACTCCAGTCTTTTGGTGGACCAGAAGGCAGAAGTGTTTAATGAAAGTAGCAGGTCTTTTATAATGTGACTCACTAGGGTGAGACTTGATTGGTTTCAAAGTAGAAATATCTCACACTATTGGTGAACTATGAATAGCACACTGTGGAAAACCATAACTATAAACGATGGTTACAGAAGGAGAGATAATAATTGTTTTAATTCTTTCCTCTAAGATTCTCAGGCTGAGCCTGGGAGAAATTATTTCTGTTCTTTCTTCAACTGAACTGAGAATATCCACCGGTCCCCAGCTAGAGCAGGAATTGTTTTGTCTCCCTGCTCTGTGCACAGAGCTCACCATCCCCTCATGTGAAGCCCAGACCCACACACTAAAGCAGCACAGAATCTGAAAAAAATAAAAAGCTAAACCTGAAGCATCAGTGACAGAAAACCACCTCTGGTCAGCCCCAGCGGACAAAGGTTGACACAAACGCTATGAAAATTCAGGTTTCCAGTGAAAAAGGCAGCAGAGGAACAGAGAGCAGGTGGGCCTAGAAGGGCTGGCAGCTGTGGGTGGGATGGCACCTGTGGTGAAGTGGGTGGAGAGGCTCTCGCTCCTCTGCGTGCCCTTCTGCGCGTGGACGCTCAGCGTGTACTCCGTGGCAGGCTGCAGCCCCTTCAGGTCGTACTCCACCGTGTTCCCGGAGACCAGCTGGGTCACTTCTGGCTCTGAGAACAGAACACGGCAGAAAGGAGATGTTGATTTCATTCAGACTCGTCATGGTGTGCTCAACTCCGTGCTCCACTCACTGATTTGTTTTATTCCTAGTTGGTGCAAGTGTAGAATGGTAAAAGCCCAGGGCTGTGCTGGCACCTCTGCTGAGTCTGGGTTCCACCAGAGCCCTTTCTCTAAAACTGTGAGCTCTCTCTAGTGTTCACAGGGATTATAACATCGCCTCTGATTCCCAGGAATCTCCCTTATGTCTGTTCATGGCTGAATCGAGAGTGCTGCATAAAAACAATCAATTTTTAAATGCTTCCAGCAAAGCCCCTTCTCCAAATAACAGCCCCGAGGCTGCCAGGGATGCCCAGGGTGGGATTGTTGGGGTGTCTGGGCAGGGACAGGAGTTTGATACTAATGGGTCCCTCCAACTCTTGATATTATGTGATTTTCCTAGAGTTACAATCAGCACCTCTTGAGAGCTTTAACCCTTCAGCTCCCACATTCCCAGCTCCTCTCACCTTCCTCAGAAGAGTAGGACACCACGTAGTTATCCACAGCAGCAATTGCTGGCTGCCAGGTTGCCAGAGCCTCAGAATCTGTAATGTTCACCACCACCAGGCCTGATGGGCTGTCCAGAGCTGGAAGAAAAACAGATTGAAGGAATTTGACAAACATTCTCAGCTCTGTGAAATGCTCTGCTGGAAATTCATGAGAGAAAATGCCCAAAACTCAGTGCAGCTTTTACGACTCCCTTTGGAGCAGTGGAGCTCTGCAGGAAAGACGTCAGTGCCTATGAAGAGACACCAAAACCTCCACTGGAAAGGGAGGTCAGTGCTGGAAGAGATGAAATTCTGGGAACAAACAGAACTAACCATGTTCTCAGATCACTTTTGATACCATCAATCTCAACAGCTCTGTCAAAGATGACATATTTCTCTCAACACCCTCAAATCTGGGTTGTTTTTTAGAACAAATTCAGGAGACAGAGCTGGGAAAAATAACCAAAGTGACAGCAGCTGATGGCCACTGTGACCTTCCAGCAGCTTGTTTGGAACAAACCAATCCCACAGCCAGCCAGGCATCCAAAATCCCCCCACATCCTGCTTTGCCTCCTCACAGGACTCCACTTTTCACACAGGTTTATGCTCTCCCTGAATTAAGATGGATCTTTGCCTCCAGAACAGCTGGAATGGGTTATAAATCTCCTGTCATTATCCAGTACTCATCATCTTGCTCTCTGCCTCAGCTTTCTGAATGTTTGTTAGCCCCCAAAAAGAATACAAGGAGGGCTCAGCAGGAGCAGAGTGAGCCTTCATTTCCTGCACAGATATTTAAAGAAGAAATCAGGACACAGAATGGTAAAAAAATATTGAGAGAATATTGAAGGAAAAAATCAGGAGAGAGAATGTTTTTATGCTTAGGACAATCTGGAACCTGGGACATGTGAAGTTCACAACAGAAACTGGCCTGAACTGCTCAGCTCAGCTGGCCCTTTGCTCCCTCATCTCACAACCAGCATTATTTAAAAAAAGAACCAAACAAACTTTGTCTTTTTTTTTTTTTTTCTGCTGAATTAGAATGGTAAATGCATGAATTGTCTTCCTCTCACATGTTTATTTAGCAAATGGGAGCCTCATCAAATTTACAAGTTCCATCTTTGTGTAAAATGCAAAGACAAAGAAGGCATAGGGAAAAGAGCTTCCTACAGTTTGTGTGGTCAGCAAAAATGGGATCTTGGTGGGACTGCAGCTCCAGCGCCTGAGTCAGATGATCCATTTAAAGAGCTGCTATTTCCTGCTTTTACATTATTACCTGTTTTCAGGATGCCAGAGACGGGCTCGCTTTCTTCAAAGCCTTTCACAGAGATGACGCTGACATTGTAGTCCACACCTGGGACCAGCTTCACCAGCTTGGTCCTCGTCTTGTTCCCTTCAACTGTGACAACATTTGGAGTACCTAGGATGGGGCCAAATGCCAAGGGATGAGTGACACAATACTCCAGGAAATGCTTGAAGGGTGTTTTTCAAGTTAAAGACATTATGGCCACCATGGATGTGCTTCTACAGCAGGAGATGAATTTTCCCATTTAGTTACAAGCACTGGTGTCAAATATTGTTGCCATAACACCTAAATCTAAATAATTGGTTTGTATTCAGTAAGAAAAATCAACATTTTTAGTGGAAGGTGTCCCTGTCTGTGACAGGGAGTTGGAATGAGATCAGCTTTAAGGTGCCTTCCTATGCAAACCATTCTGTGATTTCTGTTGAGAAAAATACAATTTCCCAGAGAAGGTGTAAGGAGAAACCCCTGCAGTCTCTGCCTGGGAGCTCAAACACCTTGAGGACAGGACTTGCAATTTAGATCTGCCTTGTTTGTGGTGGGGGCTGGAAGAGTCTCCTTTACCCCCCTCATTTAGAATAAAGATAAATGTTATTTTAAAAGGTGCTCTGTGTGTGGCTGAGGATTTAGCACCCATATTTACTCCAAATCCTGGGTTTATTCCAGGAAAGCACTTAGACAAGTGCCTAACTTTATGACTGGATTCCTGTCCTTCTGTGGGACCTCTGTATTTAAAGCTGCACGTGTGCTTTCTGGCTATATTGTCTAAAGATCTAAATCTTTCCTTGTCTCAGTCAACAGCAGCGGGTTTTTGGTGCTGATGACTTTAGTGTTTGTTATTTGGCTGTTTCCCTTCAGAGATGTCCCTACATTAGCTTAAAAATCCATTGAAGTAGAGGAAGTTTTTGAAGTTGGACACTAAACCAGAATGAGACAACGTTGGAGAGCACTGAGTAAATCACTGCCTTGAAACTTGGTTATAACCATGGATTCTGGTGATTATCTCCAAGGGCCATCTTTTCCAGTGTGCTCAGCTCATGAAGTGCCTACAAAATAGTGACAGTTTGGAAACTAATCCTTGCTGAGGAGGTTCAGACAGACACTTCTTAGGAGTACAACCACTCCAGCATCCACCTCTGAGCTGCCTTACAAGCCCTGCCCATGGGATGTGGACACAGTGTCCAGACAGAGGTTGGCTGCACATCCTCATTCCTGAAGAAGAAAAAGAGATGATCTGTGCAAGATCACCTGGGAGATGCACTGAAAGGAGGGATGGCAGCCCAGCAAACCCTTCCTGCTGTCCCTGGCAGCCCCTGTCCCTGCTCACCTCCCGTGACGGGGACGTAGGAGATCCGGAAGTTTTCCACGCGGGAGCGAGGAGGGGTCCAGCTGACTGTGGCAGCATTTTCCGTGATGTCAGAGAAAGAAATTCCCTTGGGAGAGCCAACCACTGTCAGGGGAGAACAGAGAACACACCACACAGGAGGAAAAGGTAAATCATTTGTTTGTCAGTCCTTAGTGCTGGAAAACTGATTTGTTTTATCATCCTAAACCACGAGCTGGTGCTGTCAGCATTCTGCTCTGAACAACATTAATGCAGGGGGTACAAAACTGAAGGGTTTTATTGCAGGAACAATCTATTTGCAACAAATTTTCCTTTTTTTCAGGACCATTCCAGTATTGCATAGGTTAAAAATACCCAATGTGAATCTACATACAAAAATAACAGAGATTTCAGTGCTCTAGAAAATCAGGAGGAACATGCACAGAACTTACATTCTGCTACCCATGGGATGCTGTATTTAAGATTTTTTCTATCCCAGTTTCACTTGGAGGATTTTTAGACCTTCCACTGAGCCCCAGAGCCCCCTGTGACACACAGCAGTGACAGCTATGGACAGATCTCTCTTCCTGAGCATGAAGTTCCTAATGCAGGATGCTCCAAGGAGACCTGGCCTCAGGTGTGGGAGCCCATCAAGGCTCCTCTCAAGGACTCACTCCTGGAACTTCTGTTGGCTTCAAACCAGAAGCAACAAGATTTTCCTCCTGGAATCTCTCTCTGAGCCCATGATTTTTCTTTCAAGCACACCCATCCAGAGAACATCCAACTACAGCCATCATGAGAAAGGCACCTGCAGCTCTTTGTCGTAAAACTTTCCCTGTCAAAACCTGAGCACTGCACTTGCCCTCATAAATTAAATCAGTAAGCTGGGCAAACAAAGCCCAGATTTTACCAAAAAGAACCCAGACTTAAACCCAACATGTATCTGAAACATTCTAGTTGGAGGCTTAATTAAGATCCTGCAGAACAAGCATGGAAAGGGCTTTGGAAGGATGTCGTGAAGAGAGCTGCCACTTCCAGGTTTACACTGAGCATCCCATTTCCAATCTTTCCAGCTTTTTTTGGCTGTAACCAAAACAATCCTGAGGTATTAAAAAACAAACAACACACAGAGAGCAGGCCATTAATACAAAGAGGAGAGATCCCAAACATCAGCCACTTGAAGAGGAATGGAGACAGGCTGAGAGCAGGGGAAGGGGGGCAAGAGGAGGAAAAAAAAGGGATTGGGCTTGAAATAGTCTGGAAAGAACGTGCCTGAGGGAAAGGAGTCAGAGGCTGTTTGTTCCATGTGTCCCCAAAGCAGCAGGGCACTAAATCAACTGAAAGGCAAGGAAAGAAAAACAACTGAGCTCTCAAGAGAAATGTAAATTATGTCTCTGGAGCTCGCTAGAAGTGTTGTGTTGGTGGGGTTTGCTCACGTGAACAAGCCAAGGGAAGAAAAGAATTACAGATAAGAAAGGAAGCGAGGTGGGGTTGGAAAAGCTACGTGGCACAAAAAGGTGCTGCTGATTTGGGTACAGGCTGAAGGAAATCAGAGAAAATAAAGAAAAGGTAGGAAAAACAGAGAAATTAAAATTAGATTGGTTTTGCTTTACATTATAGGTGGCCTGAGAGACTGAAGAAAAAGGGAAGTGGTGATTTTGGAGACCAAACAGATGGACCAGCATTTGGTGTGCATACACATGGAGAATTTCAGCCTTTCCCAGAAAATAAAATCCCCAATCCATCCCACTTGGACTCTGCTGTGCACATTTCCATGGGCCTCAGGCTTGTTTTCTGCTCCAGGTGAGCTGCATGACAAAGAGCAGTAAGAAGAGCTTTGATGTGAGTTTTCCACATCCCCAAGTCCCCCAGCTTTCCTGGGAGAGATCCTGGCAGGAAATATAATGGACCATCAGAGCATCTGTCCTGGAATGAGTCCCAGAGCTGGGAGAGATTTGCACCTTTGAGCACAGGGAAATGAAAAAGAAACGAATGAAATCATCTTCTTGGGCTACCTGAAAGCCAGAATGAAGCAGGCATGGAAAGCAGCCAGTGAGCTCCTGACCTGGCCCTCACAGAGAACCTCAGGTCATCCGTGGGGCAGGCACAGGTGAATTATCTTTATCCTCCAGCATCATCCCCAAAGAGCTGTATGAGAGACAGGGAACTCTCCTGAGAGGCTGCTGAAGCACCCAAGGTACCTGAGAGAAGCTGTTTTTTTAGGGATGTTTTTTGCTAATTGTTTTGCATTCTCAGCAGACTAGAGGAGGATGTGCCCTGGCTTTCTTCTCCTCATCAACAGGAAGCAGCAGGTTGCATTTATTACAAATCAAGAGCGTGTGAAGTGTTTTGTGATCATCTCAGGAAAAAAATGCTGTCACAGTGTGGCAAAACACCACTGGAAGAAGAGCAAAGGAGCAGTATGAGACTCACACCTCCTACAAGGATATTAATTGGACCATAGATGTGTTGTGATCTCCTAGTGGGGATTAAATTGCACCTTAACTGAGATTTTACAGATAAATGTCTAAAAAACACTAACTCTGAGAGCAGCAGTGGCTAAATTCCCTCTTCAGGAATAGAAATATTTCCTTGCAACCACAATGGAAATGCTATAAATATCCATATGTTTGTGCAATAATCCACTCCTAAAAAAGAAATTAGTTGGCTCCCTTGGCAGCCACCCACCCAGTGTGGTGTAACCTGCAGCCCAAGTTATTTAGCTGGGTTTTTGTGGCTCTATTGTCCATTATTCATGGGCTATTTACAGCTGACAAACATCTCTTGGGCTATTGGCTCCAGTAGGTGACATGTGCTAAATCTCCCTGCAAGGGCTGCACAGGGATGTAGTCATGAGGAAAATGATGACTCTCAGTGGCTTCCCATAAATATCCTGGAGTCTCTGAGGATGGGGACCTGCTGCTAGCAAGTGCAGTGGGATTTAAACATCCCTCTCCATTAGGAGTCAACGAGCAGGAGCCTGGCCAAGGGGGGCTGCTGATGCACCTTCTGCTTCATGGAAGTGTCTGGGGGATTGTGAGGGTGGCCTGGCTGTTTACGGCAGGGATGTGATGGCAGGAGTGCAGCTGAGCCCACAGGCAGCAGGGTGGAGGATGAGGAAGAAGAGAAGGAGAAGCTGTTCAACACTGAGGTGTTGCTGCCTGGCAAATGCCTCCTTTAGGCATTCCTTTTGTTTTGCTCACTCATGGAACTTACAATCATATCCTGAGCTGGGAGGGACTGAAGGGATCGCCCAGCCCAGCCCCTGTCCCTGCCCAGACCCCCACCAAGCCCACCCTGGGCATCCCTGGCAGCGCTGTCCAAAGGCTCCTGGAGCTCTGGCAGCCTCGGGGCCGTGCCCATTCCCTGGGGAGCCTGGGCAGTGCCAGCACCCTCTGGGGGAAGAACCTTGCCCTGAGCTCCAGCCTGAGCTGCCCTGGCCCAGCCCCAGCCGTGCCCTGGCTCCTGTCCCTGTCCCAGAGCAGAGATGGGAGCTGCCCCTCGGGAGGAGCTGCAGCCTTGGTGAGATCTCCTGTCTCATCCTTTTCCTTTCCTCCCATAATTAATTTGATTTCAAATTACCCCATTTTCACATCAGCAAGCTCAACATTTTTTCAAGACCAAATTTGGCTCACAAGACTTTGCATCATATGCTTCAGGTTTGAATGTGCTCCACGATTTTGGTGTGGAAAAAAAGATTGGAACACTTCATATAAAAGTGCCAAATTGAAACGCTTCAATTATGAACCTGAATAAAAGCTTTGATTTTGCAAAGAAACTCAAGTCAATTTGAATTACCCAGCACATGTTGCTCCTGGTAAGATCAGTCTAAATTAATGGCGCTTAGGCCTTTGCTGATCAAGCCATAAATAAACTTCTCAATGGCCTTGGTAAATTCATTTTGTCATAACTCTTTCCTAGGGAGGTAAACTGTTGTGCAGAGTTGGGATGTAATTAGTCACAGAAAATCACTGAAAGGGCCGATGCACAGACAATATTTCTTGGCCCTCAAAGACAGTGTTTTAATTGCCACACTCTGCTGCCTAATTCCTGGTCATTAAAGTAATTCAATTAGACCATATTAAATAGACAGTGACGAAGCTTGGGAAGCTGGGACTGATTACGAATAACCACACCACACTGAAGCTGTGACTTGGACAAGGGGCATGCAGGATCCAGTTCAGGACACCTCTGGAACAGCTCGAGCTGGCTGTGAAAAGGAGCAGGGAATGTCACACTTTCCCCACTGCAAAGACAATACCTGTGGATGCTACTGTGTTTACAGGCTGGGAACGTTGTCCACTGCTAATTCCATAGAGCTCAATCTCATATTCAGTGCCCTCTTTCAGCCCTGTTATATCCTGGGTGCGCTCATGGCCTGGCACTATCAGCTCCAGGGGGTCAGATTTCCTTTTGGTGTCCCTGATTTTTAGAACAAAGCTGTTGAAAACCCCCTCATCTGCAGTCCAGGAGAGACGGAATCCATCTGGGGTTGCGTCTGAAACCAGAAGGTTGTCGACCTCGGGTTCTGCTTCTAAAAAAGGAGAAGATAGCAGTGGGGGAAAAAAAAAATAGTTTTTAATCAGTTGATCTGAGACCTGCCTGAGGTCTGGCTATAGCACACTGCAAGAATCCAACCACAGTTCAAAGCAAGGGAAACAATCTGCCAGCTATTAAAAAAAAAATAAATATTAGTGTCATACAGAAGAGGATAAATGTGAGTGTGTGCAGGCCCATTCTGACTTTCACTCTTGAACAGCAAACCACTGCATGGACACACAGTTTTGTCTCCCACATGCAGAGTTACACATGCTAAAGGTGAGTTTCCTGGGCATTTATCACTCCCTACCTGTGTGACACATTTATGGCCAATAAAAACAAGCTCTTGTTACAGAACTGCATGTCTGGAACATTGTCAGACCTCTCTCTGCTAGGAGGACAACATAGAAGCCTCTGAAAATTCTTTTTCTCCATGAAAACCCCTTATTTCATGCATTTCTGGCAGCTGTGGTGATTCTGATCTGATGAATCCTTTACTGTGCTCTTAAACTGCAAAGAGGAACTATAAACATTCCTCTCTTAAACAGCACCCTTCAATCTAAATGCAAGAGCTGCTGCCTTTGGTTAATGAACCCATTCAAAAGGATCCCAAGGGTTGTAAGTTATTAATTACCTGCAAAACACCTCTAACTCTTATGGTCAGGCACCATTAGCTAGAAAAATGCTGCTGGAGTGGTTATGTCCTACAGCAGCTCCAGTGCAATCCTTCCTTCCACACACAGCCATTCCTATTTATTTCCTCTCAAAACTCCCACCAGATTCCCCTTCCCAGCTTCACTTCTGCCCAGACAGGAATGTGCAGATGAGAACTGATGGTGCTGGGGCTGGAGAATCAGCCTGCAATCATTTCCGAAGAAAGCTCAAGTGCTGCTGGAACACAGCAGCTCTGATGTGGTTGGAAGAAGGAGCTGGTTTGAGGAGAGAGGTGCCAACTTTGGGGTGGCGATGATCCCACTGTGGGTGGAACCCACATGGAGAAACAAAGAGAGGAGGCCATGGGAAGAAGTCCATGGCTCTTCCTGAAGGTCCTGGTGGCTGGAACATGGGAGAATGCTGCTGTTGGAGAATGCTGTTGTGCCCAGCTGTTAACAAGACGAGCTCTGCATGCAGCCATTCTTCTTTCAAGACTTTGTTAGAGGTACCTGCAAGACCAGAACTTTCACCCCTCAGGCCCCCACATGCTCCTCCACAGGATCCCTCAGAGGGAGACATCCAGTTAAAGGGAACAGAATTCCACTGCTGAACCCATCAGTCATGAGGAGTTACGTGGAGCCACGACGCAGAGAAGGATGCAAAAGCCAAAGTTTGCACAAAACATCTTCCATGTGAGAAGGAAAGTGAGAGAGAAAAGGGTGGAAGGGAACAGTTTGCTCACATTGAAATACCTGTAACAGCCAGAGCGCTCAGGGGCTTTGTTTGGTGCCCCTTGGCAAACCCATAAAGCAAAACCTCATAGCCAATGCCAGTAATTAGGCCTTTAAGCTTCAGCTCTCTCTGGGCTCCCGAAAGGAGGAACTCCTGTGGGTCCAGCAGCTTGCCAGAATCCACCACGACTACTAGAAAGTTGTCAAAGGCATTCTCCGATGCCATCCAGGACACTGTGAACCCATAGGGGTTCGTATCAGACACTGTTAGGTTTTCCAGTGGGGGCATGGCCTCTAAAAGAAGGGAAGGTGCAAAAACACACACACACACACAAAAAAAAAAAAAAAGAAGTGAAAAACATTGCAAATTAGAAAGTGTCACAGATTCCATCAAACAAAAATCACATTTTCCCCTCTAGTGTGGATCTAATAGTCAGGACCACAAGATGAGGATTTTCAATGGAGCTCAATTTTGAATTTTTCTCAAGGCTCTCTCAGCACCTCCTCTCACAAGCTCCACTGGAACCCCTCCCAAGCTGCCTTTGTAAGCAGATTTCTGCTGCTACCCTTGCACTGTAAGAAAGTTATAACAAAAACTGCTTTAGAAATTGTTCACATAAAGCTTTCAATTATAGTTTTACTTCTCTCCACCATCAGTGCTTTAGAGACAAGCCTCAGTTTGGGCATTCCCAACTCCTGTATTTTGCTTCTTCACCTATTGCATGTGAATATCTCCAGTGTTAGTTTTCAGTGCTGGAGGGGTCAGAGGTGCCAGAACAGGAACATTAATCACTCAGGGTTACAGCCAGTGCAAATCAGCTGCTGCTGGGCTCTGTTGACAACTTAAAGAAATTCCACTGAGGACTCCTTTTTCACATCAGTGTGACATTTGTCAAAGTGAAAAGACGTGGAAAATGCTTCAAAATTTATCCACTAAGTGTCAGAAAAAAAAAAAAAAAAAAAAAAAAAAAAAGGCCACAAGGTTCTCAGTGTATTTTGCTCACTCAAAATCTGACAAGTCAAAGAGGAAGATCAGGTGGCTCTGCTAAGCCCTGGCCTTGATCCTGGAACCCGGGCACTGCTTGTACTTCTCCACAGTATTTGTCCAGCCTTGCTCTGTTGGCTCAGGAGCTGATTCAGCCAATCTTCCAATCACTCAAAATCCCACTCAATTCAGAAAACACCAGTTAGTTAAAGGCAGAACCTTCTCCTGAAAAGGGCTTTGTGTTTGCTTTTGACATTTCACAAACACTGACATGGATTTTGTTAGAATTTGGCATAAAAATTGCCACCTGAAGAGTTATCATTTGGAATTCCTTATGTATTAATATTTACACATTTGAGTACTCATTTTAGAGATATTTTTGCATCTTATTTACTTCTAATCAAGCAATCTCCAATATTCATACTTTGAGTAGTTCTCTAGAAAGGAACATCCTGGGACAGGAGGTGTTCCACGAGCCAGTCCTGTCTGATGAACTTCTGAGCAGCAGGCAAATTTCTCCCTTAAACTTCAGGAGTTATAAAAGCAGATTCTTAATGACAGACTCATGGAATCACAGAATAATCTGGGTTGGAAGGGACCTTAAACTCATCCAGTTCCATGGGCAGGGATACCTTCCACTATCCCAGCTTGCTCAGAGCCCCATCCAACCTGGCCTTTTAACTCCCTTTAAACTAATCCTGCTCCTAGGAAATTTTTTAAGGTCAACATTCCTGTTCTGACCCCTCCTTGCAGCAGGTTTTCAAACAAACTCCGTGCTGGGGAGATCCTTTTGGGGACACACTCATTTCCCTGAGCCTTGCAAGAAAGGGACTCCAAAGCTTCGAGGTACCTGTGGTGACAAAAGCAGTGAGGGGCTCAGTGTGGACACCTGCCCTGGTGGTGCCCTGAATGTGAATGTCATAGGCAGTGTGGTCTGTGAGGCCTGAGATGTGGGCACTGCGGGTGCCCCCTGGCACCGTCAGCTCCTGGGCTTCCTGTGCCGCCAGGGAATCTTGGATTTTGATAAGAAACGTGGCAAAGGGCCCATCTCGGGTGGTCCAGGACAGGTTGAAGCTGTCAGGGGTAACGTTTGTGAGGGAGAGCGTGCCCAGCTGTGGCTCAGCCTCTGGGGGAGAAAGGAACACAGGTGAACAGGCAGCTTTACTCAAGGGGGTGGGGGAATCAACACAGGGGGATTGGAGGTGCTCAAAAATAATGTTTTAGGCTTGTTTTGCTGTGGTTGAATTAAAAAAAAATTAAAAAGCAGCATTGCAAGAGCTATTTTCTCAGGTTTTGGAAAGAAGCCACTGAAATTAGTGCTGGCTTTTATATTTTTTCATTAAATTTTCTTAAATAAACTCAACTTGCCTAATGAAATCTGGGCCTGGTTTGCAGAAGCACCAATAACATACACATACAAATTGTGGGAATTCCACCCTGGGAATTTGATGGGAATACAGACCCACAGCAATTCCAAAATAGAGAAAGTTGGATTCAGGCAGGAATCCATGAAATCCCAGTCCAGGTTCTGTTTGGTGTTTCTGTTGCTTGGAGTTGTAGATACTTCTATTTTTGGACTCTGAGGTTTATGAAGGATTTCAGGGATTATCTCAGCACTAATCTCAGGCCAAAACCTCCCTGGACTCCATAGATAAGGTGTTCCTCATCCTCTGATTAGGCACAATCAGAGAATGTCTAATAAACAATAAACCCCACAACACTGCTCTTGCTCTCCTTCCTGACTGTTCAGTGGTCAGGGCACCTCCATAAGAAGCCAAAACTTTCCTTTTCTGCTGGAGAAAATTCAAATTCACATCTTTGCCCTGCCAGGAGAGAAACTTGTCCTTCAGGAGAGGGAGAGCTCCTTACCCATTCTCTTTTAAATCTCTTACACTTAGCACAAAAATCATTAAAGTTTCATTAAAGGCCAGAGAGAGAACAAACATGACCCAACAGTCAGAGGATCAGAGAATCCTGTGTTTGCTCTCTGGGCTGATTTGCCAATTTTTATGTTGCCAATTGAGTAGGAACCAAGAACACCTTGGGAAATGCAGCCAGTGAGACACAGAAAAATAATGATGGAAGAGTGATCCATGCTGGGAAGGAAGTCAGAGAGAGGATCCCACTAACAGAGAGTGGTGAAAGAGTGAATTTTTCTTTGCTAAAACAAATACTGCTGCAAGATATTCCAACTTTTACTCCCATCCCTCATTGCAAGACTTTTAAATAATAATCCACCTCCTTCTCTGGAATTGTCTGGGAAGAGGTGAATGGAAGTGGCCCCGATTAAGGACACAGATGTCACAGATGTCATGCTATCAACCAGTGACCATGGATGCCTTCATGACCAGCAGGGAAAGGAAAGTACCACCATGGTGCTCGTGAAGACAGGCAAGGAGATGAAAAAATATCCACAAAGCAAAAAGGCTTGGGTGGAAAATCCAGGAAAACTGAGCCCTCAGCCCCACATGCAGCTCAGAGAGGGCAAATGGAGCCTTTCCAACCTCAACGTGGCATGGCCACATTCTTTCACATGCCACCTGCATCCATGGTCAGGCACATTCCCATCATGACAGCCTGACTCCCAGGAATGTTACATGCAAAATGAGCTGGAATCATATCCTCAGGCAAGTCTTAGTGATCTCCTGCCATCCTGGAAACACCACCATCCAGGGAAACAAGACAGGCTCTGGAGACTCAAAGGGAGCAATGCAAGGGACACGGTGGTGGGCTGACCACCAAGAAAAGGGGGATTTGTTTTTTGAGCCCTGCTCTGTGCTGAGAACATAAAAATCCTGGGCAGAGAAAATATCAGAACCAGCAGAAGGTGGCCAGACCACTCCATGCAGTTTGGATTGATCATTTCACATGCGGCACGAAACTCCCACCAGAGATGCAAATGCCTTGGGAGACATTTGGGTTTAAGGAGGACAAAACTGACATGCAGGAGCCTCTCCAGGCTGAGAACCACATGGAGGCCTCTCTCCCACCCCCAGCACAGCAAGTGAGGGTGGGATGAACAACTTCATTCAAGATCAAGTGCAAAGATGCTGAGTGAAACACATCAACCATCTGGAGCAAGGCAATTATATATACACTGAACTTGCAGAGAGATGTGTATATATAAGGAAACCATCATGGTTTACTACTGCCTCTCTTAATGCTGGGGGCACTTTTTCAGCCTTTTCCATTGCCACAGATCTTTTTCCAAGCCCTCTCAGTGCATTTCAGCCTCCCCTCATGGTTGGAAGGATCCATACTATAATTCCCCAAGGGAATGATGGTGAGTTGGAGCCACATTTTAGAGCAGTTTGGTGGACAGCAAGAGAAAGGAGAATAAAAAGCAAACCTGGAAGGTGAAACAGTGAAATACCTGTAGTTGCCATGGCTGTCAAGGTCTGCCCACCTTGCCCATCAATTACCCCATGGAGCTGGACTGTGTAATTAGTGGCAGCTTTGAGGTTGTTCACCACAGAGTGCCGGGAGTCCCCTGGCACTGTGAGCACCAGGGAGTCCAAGGGGAAGTCAGAGTTCCTGACTTCCAGAATAAAGTGATCAAAGGCCTTGTCCTGTGCCTCCCAGGTGAGTGACAGGCTGTCTGAGGTAGCATTTGATACACTGAGTTTGCTAAGGAGAAGTTCCTTTACTACAGGAAGAAAAACAAATGGAAACATATCACAGTTATTAAAAGCCAAAGCAATAAAATAAATTAATAGAGAAGTTTGAATTCACATGACCACGGGACACAAGGGTCACCCAGCCTTGTGTTTCCCTATGTTTCCCATACCCCTGCTGCCACCCTGACTGTGCCACTCATCATCAGATGAGGATATTTGCAGTCTGCTGCTGCTGGAAATTGATATTATATTATCTGATAGCTGAGATTTGATATTTTGCTTTCACTGACCACATTACTCATTCCTATGACAAATCACTACGGCAACTTTTCCTAGAGGGGCAAAATTTGTGGAGGTGTTTAACAATCATAACATGAGCCATTATCTGCCTACAATAACAATGTTCTGTTTCTGTAGTCCAGTCCTCACTTTCCACGCTCATCCTGAACATTTGACTTCCCTGTCTTTTCTAGGAGAGCTGTCAACTGTAAAACCTTGAAATGTTCAACGTGCCAACAACTCAGTGCCTGCCTATTCCCTTCTCTGACATCAACTTAAATGGACTTTCAACATGCCAACAACTCAGTGCCTGCCTATTCCCTTCTCTGACATCAACTTAAATGGATTTTTCAATCTCTCACCCAAAACAACCTGAATAATTGAAGCTGAATTCAAGCAGTGAATGTGCCTTGCAGGATTGTGCTCGCACAGACTGAAACATGCCTGACATCTTTTGGGAGAATCAGGGTAAATCTGTGTCTAGAAATCAGCTTTTCTGAGAGAAGCTGTGTCCTGTCTGAGCTGTGGGACAGATGCACACACAGGTTGAAAGGTGAACATTAGGAATCATCTCCCACTTGGTTCTTGGGATATTTGCTTTGCTTCTCTTCTGCCTGAGAGGCTGCCTCAACCTTGATGTCTAGACTCATTGTGTGAATGAAATCCCAGCACGATGGGATTGCCTGACTTTTCTGGATGGGATGGTGGCTCAGCATTCCCAGCTCACAATGTCCCCGGCTGGTCTTCCTCGGAAGGCGTAGAGGCAGAGGGTTGGGAAATGGGTGGGCTGTGGGGTAGCTGAGGGCAGGGAAGGGGGCACAACCTGCAAGGAAAAGTTCAAAAAAGCAGAGTTAGCACTGAGGTAGGTTTGGTGTACCTGTGGTAGCTGCAGCACTGATTGCCTGTGTGCGGAACCCGTGAGAGATCCCGGAGAGGTAGACAATGAAATCAGTGCTGGGAGAAAGCCCTGAGATATGAGCAGTCCTTGCGTTGCCTGAGAAGTTGAACTCCATGGGCTCCAGCAACCTGTTAGAATCAATAATTTCAATGGTAAAGACGTCGAAGTCCCCGTTGGAGGCTGTCCAGGAGATGTTGAAGCTTTCGGGGGTAATGTCGGAAACCATTAGCTCAGCAACGCCGGGCTGCTCTCCTGGGGAGGGAAACAACACCCGTCAGAAGGGCCCCGACCTCCTCCTGCTCTCAAAGGCTCCTCTCTGCCATGCTGGCAGCACTGCGAGCTGGGGAAGGGCTGTGAGTAAAAGCTTGCTACGAGCAGACAGGTACCAAGGGGAGGAAATCAAATGAAAGCATTGCAAAATGTTAGATAAGGGAAAAAAAAATTAAAATAACATTTAAGACTATGGTTATTTCCCTTTCCCTGTGGGAGCAGCCATGTCTTTGAGGTCTGAGCGTGAAAGCAGATGCAAAAAGACTGTCTAGAATGCCCCTGAGGCATTTGGAAAAGACAGCTTCCAGTTTTAGGAGAAGCTAAAACCAAAGCTGTTACAAAGGAAAATCTTGTGTTTTGTTTACTCTTCTACTTTCCCTTTCAGCTTAAGCCTGTGCAAGCTGGCTTGTAATTTTGGAGCTGGAGCCAAAATGCAAAACAGAGAGAGATGCCTTGGGGTTTTTTTCTCTCTGCAGACATCCCCGTAGCGTTACAGGAAGGTTCAGATATTTTTTAACAATTGGAAGTCCCCAGAAGGGAAGATTTTGAAAAGCCGGGTGCTGAGCTTGACCCATAAAGGGAAAGGAAAACCTCAGCAGGGCATTTTCTGCTGTTTTCACGAGGGTTAAGGAAGGGAGCACATTGCATATTTAGGCAGGACACCCATGATGAGTTTCCTGCTTTGTCTCTTTGTCCAGTACATTGATCTGGTCTCCACAGGCATCTGCTCCCAGCTCCTGGTGAGGACTCTCAAAGCTCAGCACTTTCCTGGGACACAGCACAGCCATTCCTGCCCAAGCCAGGCTGCTCTAAGCACTACAGAAACAAGCAAGCTCTGCTGCTCTTCATGCTGTAATTCCAATTAGTTCTCACAGGTGCTTTCATCCCTGTCTGGGCTGGGTACCATGTGCTTGGGGGAGCCTGGCACGAGCCTGCTCTGGCTATCTCACAGAGACAGGACATTGCAAAGGGCTGCAGGGGAGCCCAGAGGCAGCAGAAATTGTCTACAAGAGATTATCTGAAGGAAAGGCCACTGGTGCCCCTTTAATGCCAATTAATTCACACTGCTCATTACAGTTATCATAACACCTGGGAGGATCAGAGAGCCACACAGCAGAGATGTAAATACACATTTATCTCTCATGGTCAAAGCCTATGATAAGCTCTTATTTCAAACTGTTGCCTTTCATATGATGAGCCAAAAAATTATTTTGGGGCTCTTGATGAGCTTCATGCAAGCTTCTGATGGCACAGATCTCCACTTCCTCCTTTCAGGCCAGTTCTATGCCAGGGTAGTTCTACTGAATTTAATTTTTTGCATTATATCTTTGTCAGGCCAGACTGTTTCATGATCTTATATGGCTTAATAAATTTTATTAGTCTTATTAGGAATTAATTTGTGTCCTTTCCTATATGAGAACATATGGAAGGTGTTCTTCTTTGCCCTGAGTCAGGTGCACACAACTTTACTGAGTCTGAATTCACACAGAAGATACTGCAGAATTTCAGAGGCAGCTTCTGAAGGGTAAAAACTGAACACACTCTCAGACTTTGATTATCTGGGCTGATAGAGGAATGATTTTTATAACTTTACCAGGCAACCTGGCCTTCCCTAAGCAGGTACAACATCCAGCTGGGTTTTGCTGTTAGTGTCAGCCAGGTAAGTGAGGAAGGGGAACAAAAAAGCTGTTTTGAGGTGGGTGGGGGAAAGCAGGGAGGGAAGGGCTGCACCGGGGCACTGAAGCTCTGGCTGGGAAGCCTGACCATGAGGCATTTCCATGCCAGAGGTGTTCAGCGAGGCTTTAAGGAGCTCAGGGCACCCCATGCAAGGCTGTCCCAGCGAGCAGGACTTGCCCAGCACTTGTAGGAGCTCGGGCTCACACCTCTGTCAGAAAGAACATGGCGCTGCAGAAAAGGTACCTGTGGTGGTCTCAAGAGAAAGGGGCTTGCTCCTGTAGCCCCGAGTGAGCCCCTGAAGGGTGATGGTGTAAGAAGTGTTGGCCTTGAGGCCGGTGACATTCACAGAGCTCAGTGTCCCCGGGACTGTGACATTGCGGCTGGGCTCGGGGCTGCCAGCCTCCTGCACCTGCAGGACAAAGCTCTCATAGGCCCCGTCTGCGGCTGTCCAGGTGAGCTGGAAACCATCCCAGCCAGGCTCTGACACTGAGAACTTCCCCAGCTCAGGTTCCTCCTCTGGATAAGGACAGAGAGGCAATCAGTTACTTGGGTTGCAGAGTGGTGCTGATGTCAGATTATTTAATGAGGTTCTGTGTTAATGAATTTCACATTGAATCAGGGCCACAGAGATGGCCCCCCCTTCCCCCTACATTTACATTATCAGCTGCCTCAGATAACTTCAATAAAGTCTCTTTGGAGACATGGCAAAACAAAACAGTGAGCAAAGAATTGTAATAGTTAATAAATATTGAGAGGCTGCCCACAGAATGCAGCTCATAGAGAATCTTACAGCTGTAAGTGCTTTATCAACATTAATTAAACTCCCTATGAGATAAGTAGGTATTACTATGATAACTTTACTCAGTGTGATACACTGAGTTGTGAAACAACTTCACTTCAGTGCCATTCTGAAGTAACTGTGTTGTAAGGGTAGGAAAGGGTATGGTTTAGAGTAGCTGGGATTCGGATATTTTTGCTTTTAATTGCATCCACGTGAAGGATGCTGCTTATGCTTCCAAACTATTTCTAATGCAAAACAATAAAGGAGAGGAAAATGCCTCCATGTCTGCATGTCTTCAATGGATTTGTCCTCTTTTAGCTCATTATTCTACCCACAAAACCTTTCTGAGGGTGGAGACAGGACTTTCAGAGTTGCTGATATTAATCTAAAATCAAAGTGTTCATTCACAGAAATTAACATTCTTGCAAACCCCCACAGGGGTGGCCAAGGAAGCTGGGAGCCAGCAGAGGTAACAGCTGCTGTTAAATCTGAAAGTTGAGGTCATTTGTTCAGCAAGAATGGAAAGTTCTTTGTTACAAAGGAGATGCAACTGATTCCTTAACATTAACAGCCAGAGGTGAAAATGAGAGAGCACTGCCTGGTTTTTCTATCTGGAAACTCCTCTGTACTCTATCACTGACCTGTGGCCTCTGCTGATTTTCTAGCACCCTTCTGATTTATTTGAATTGCTGACACATAAGTGTTACAGTAAGAACTGAGTGTCTCTGAATAATCCATTCTTCTCATGACTGAGAATTCATAAGAGATGCTGCATGAAGGGAAATGGATCTGATTTGTCAATTGTAAACTTCAACTTTATGCATATAGTAATACAGCAGTTAAGGGGGCCCTGGAATAAATGAAATTTAGGCTCAGCTGCATCACTCATATGGAGTTTCTGCCTGTAAAACCAGAGTGATTATTGCATGACTGCTCAAAGCCTTAGGCAGGCAGCCAGGGCTGGATTTTCAGTGGTTGAGCACTCATAGATCATAACAATCTTCAGTAAAATTCATTAACAAATCAGTAAATTGCTACTATTCAGGAACAGAAGTTCTGTTGAGCTTTTCCCATCCTGTTAGAAGGAAAGAGATTGTTTATGACATGATGGCGATGTGCAACAACAATAAAAGAAATGCATTAATCCAAAGCTGTCTTCCCTTATCAGGAACAGAAAGGAAACTCATTGAGGTAAAATATGAATTCTGTCAAAATAGGACTGTTGTCTGGAAAAGAGAAAGCAGGACAGAAAGGGAACTGGTTGTATAGAGATCACAATCTGTTGGCAGCAACAGAAACAAATAAAACAAATACATTTCCTTAAAATGAAAGTGAAACTAAAGTTATAGTGAAGTTAATTCTTTAAAATAGAAGCTTGGTTATAATAAGTAATGCAGGAACCATCACAGGTTGAAAGCAATTCTGATTTCTCTGAAAATGCTCAGTTTCATTCTCCTCCACGATGCAGAGCCCCTTTTCCTGCCATTTGTTGCTCATGCATGTTTGACAGAAAAGCAAACAACCCTTTCATGCTCTCCAGGGATCAAGGGGTTCTCCTGTGGAATCATGCACCAAACAGGATTGCTGGGGAGCTCCAAAATCCTCAGCCATCCAGCATCCAACACAGATGACCAAGCAAGCACAGTGTCATAGTAAAGATCAAGGGATGATCTTTCTTATTAAAAAACCCAAAAACAAAACAATAATCAGAGAGAACAAACCACGGAGAGGTGAAGCTGTTCTGGCTCTGTGAAATAATCTTTGTGCCACTTCATAAATAGTTTACCTCGTGTTGGGAATTTGGTTTTGAGGGATGGACAAGTACAGTCCTTAGTCTCCAGATCTGAGCTCACACCCTTGTGCTTTGGTCATGACTGAACTCAGCCCTGTCGCCTCATGAAATTCATGGGGTAAGAGGTGGCCGTTTTTAGAAAGGTCTCACAATCTTTTTTTCTCTCTGACATCATCACTTCCATGCCAAACTCTTCCTGTGTTCAAGCACAATCCAGACAAGCATGTGGAGCATATCTCCATTTCCACATCCCTTATCAGCAGCAGATGCATCAACGTCTCTCTTTGCATGCAATTTAAAAGAGAGATTTGATGCTGCATCACCTTCAGAACTGCATGGGGCATTGTCCATGCTGCAGCATCCCAGGCTCTCATTCCATAGCTGTAAGAGTTTCTTCCCATGCAAAAGTTAGAATAAACCAGCCAAGAGGAAAAGCATCACTCACAAAGCCTACAATCCATACCAAAGCCACATGGAAATGAAGTTCTGGATTTTGAAGCAGAAAAGGAACACGCGGCTGTGAATCCATGGGAAGCACCTGTAGCAGCTAGTGCTTCCAGGGAGGTTAATCTGGAATTGTGTGCCAGCTGGGAGACTGGGAATTTCTGTTGTCAAAGACTTCCCAGCAGAAATATTTCCTGTGTTCTGTTTAAAATGGACAGGCCTTTCAGAGTGATAGGGAACTGATCAAATACCTCATCCTGTGCTGCCCAGGACAGGGTGGAGCTACTGGAAGCCCTGGGGGTTGTGTTAAGGTTGTGAAGAGCCCCAGTGGCTTCTGAGCTGTGTGAGTGAAGGGGGAATAACAGCAGAGCAGGAGGCTCAGGGCTGGGGGATGTTAAATAACTGAGCTGGGGAGGTGCAGGGCTGGGAGGATCAAATGGTGTTTCACTGATTGATTCTCCATGTGTGCTGGCCAGAAGTGCTAAAAAGTGCTAAAATTTCCTGATAATAACCCCCCAAACAACAGCTAAGACCTGCTCCAGCATTCTGTGGGCTGTGCATTGGGGGCTCTGAAAGCAAAGCAAACAGAGGAGTTCTGGTTTTGGAGGCTGAATCCAGGCCTCGAGCAAAAGGAGCAGCAGCACTCACAGCCTGGTTCCCACAGAGCCACCCTGAGCAGCAGATCCAGAGCAACAACCAGCAAAACAGAGATGAGCTGGAATGCTTCCAGCCGGGAGCTGGCACATCCTCAGCCGATGGAAATCAGTTCTCTTTGATTACTTCCAAAGAACTTTGCTCATTTACATCACATTGGAGCCCTGAGTATCCAAACATGCCCTTTGTCTTTCCTACACCCATCAGTGAATACTCCTGATACAAACCATGAAGGGAATTCATGCAAAAAATCACAAACACATCCAAACCCAGGCTGAGAAATCACAGCAGAAACATGCTAAGGCTCCACACATCCTACCAAAAACAGGCTTGGAGGAGTTATCCATTGTGATACATGCAGAAGAAAGTGGAGGGGACGCACATTCTTGCCTAAAAACTAGGATAGAAAGAACTTGAAAGATATTTCTTCTAGAAGATCCAGGAATGGAAAGGGGAGAGCCCTGGCTTTCAACATGCTGAATGATCTGTGGATATATCCTGTAGAACAGTCAGATTCTGGAAATCTGAGAGCTGTGGAGGTCACAAACAAAGTGTTTCTGATGCCAGCCACAAGGCACCAGGCAGAGGATTTCTCTGACATGCAGAATTATCTCCTCATTAGTGGGAAGCCACATCATTTCACACCTCGGTGACTTCCTCGCTTTCATGCTCCACTTGCATTCAATAAGAGAGAGCAAGTCATCTAGCACCATCCATCAGCTCAGCACAAAAATCTACTCAGGATTCATTACATGTCTCCAAATTCACACATCCATCACAAAGAAATACATTTTCAGAGGAGCAAAATCAATTAGAAATTTTTCAAATAGATGCAGAAATGTTATCTTGTAACTATGCTCTCAGGTAACTACAGGTGTGAAAACATTGTTTTCTGCTCACCTCTGGGAAGGAGAGAAGCCTGTAAGGCAAAGACTGATTTATATTTATATATAATATGAATATTAATATTTACATATGTCATTGATATTCTTGATTTAAGTAAGAACTGCTCTTAAATCTCCCTAGACATGACCTGAACAGGCTCTACCTGTGCTACAACCTGGAGATAAGCATGTTTCCATCACACCAGCACAGCTACAATGCTCACCACTGCCATCATCCCCTCTTTCTCAGTAAACCACTGTCAGAACTGTTATCTGCCTGCTCCAGGGCTGCTCGTGGAACAAAGCAGGAAGGTTTGGAACCATTCTGCAGCTCCCAGCTGCTTGTGCATCAGCAGGTGCCAAGCAGGTCTTTCCTATTCTGGGAACAGGCAAAAAATTGCTGCATCAAGAATACTGGTACTTGTTTAGTCTTAAAAGTTGTTCATTTAACAGGCACAGAGGTGGCTGGGCTTTGCTGGGCTGGGCTTTGCTGGGAGGGTTTCTGCTGAAGACAAGAGTGGGCAGCCCAGTGGGGAGGAGAGGGCAGCTGTGCATCCCACGGGGACATTACCCCTGGGAAACAGAACCCTGAGCTGGAAACTGAAGATAAAACCTTCCAAAATACAATAGGCAACATAAAATTAGAGTGGTATTACATTCCTGATGTACTGAGGGTGTGTGAGAGAACCCTGTGTAAGATCAGTCAAAACTGGCCTCTCATTTTCCCTCATTTTCCCTCATTTTTCCTCATTTTCCCTGACCACCCCACATTTCTCCCACATCCCTGCCTGTTCTAGCACAGCCACACAAGTATTTGGTGACTCCAATCTGGATAGAAAATGCAGCAGCAGTATTATAAAAAACCCGAGGGACCAACCATCTGTGTAAGATTTGAATCCAGAATTTTGCTGGATTCACAGGTGGATTTATTTTATTGTGCCACCTTTGACAGCTACATGGAGTTTGCCATGTACATGTTCTCCCATGGAACATAGGAAATGTAATTCTGAATATTGCCTTGGACTTAATGACTCCACAAATGAATTTGTGGGTGAGAAAGAATGGTTTTCCTCTACACAGGTATAAACACTCATATATCTCACATTAAATTCATGTGTATCAGGGGAATATGTGGCTTTGTGTACAAACAAACAGGAGAAGGACAAATGAAAATTATATCAATACATGGAAAATACTCTGATACCACAGAAATATCAGTGTTCTTTGTTTAGCAGGCAGAATGTTGCAACAGATAATGGAAAATCTGGAAAACAATCAAACTGTAGAATAACAAGAGTGGTGGAGCTCAAACACTTGATTTAACAATGAAGGCAGAAAAAGCAGAGAGCTCTGGGAGCTTTAGGTGGGTGGGTGACAGCCAGAGAGTGATTCACAGTGGTGAGATGAATGAACAGAGATAAAGGCTGAAAAGGGAAACTGGATGGATAACAAACATACACTCTTCCCAGGCTGGAATACTTCTTACTGTCAGCTTAGGAAATAGCTCAATATCTCTTGGTAAAACCTCCAGGCTGAGCCTGGCCTGAATATGTCTGTGGAGTGGTGTTGGCCTTTTGAGGAATTCCACTGGAATGTTTCTCTGGTGGTTTTACTAAAAAGGATACTTGCGACATTTCCCCAACTCCTTGGGATAGAGCAAGAAGTATTCTGTATTACTTCTTGCTTCTGAATCTGGGATTTTCAATTATTCCCCAAGAGGGGCTCTCAGCCACTTTCCCAATCTTTTGTGAGACATGATGACTCAGCAAGGTTTTCTTTTCAGTCCCCTTTGGCTAAAGCTCTTTCCCCTCTCTTAATCAGCTGATTGAACTGGGTTTGGAGTGCCTGTGAACCTCTGAATTTCATGAAGAAACCACTGCAGCACATCATAAGCCAGAAATACTCCAGAAATGGAGTAGCTGCCTCTAAAAACCCTCATCTTGAACTCAGGCTCCAGGTGCTCTCAGAGCAGGAGTCAGCTGAACAAATGGACAATCTTCCCTGGCAGATTTAGTTTCCCAGTGCTCAGCACTGCGCTTTCCCATGGAACTGGCTCACCTAATCATTCTTGCTAATGTTTCTTTGTATAAAAAAGGGTGGCGCAATCTGAGCCTTGGAGAAGCCAGGAGAGGAAGAGGGCCTGACGCACACCATGGACAAGGGCCTTTGGTAAACAGCATAAATCTTGTGAAAAACATTCAGCAGGATGGAAAAGTCACTTCTCCAAGCCATGCTCTGCTGTACAAGCTCACTTCCAGAGGCAGGACAGTATCACATCCACGATTCATCAACAGTTGCTGCACAATCTGGATCCTTCAGCAGAGGAATTTGAGCTTGGCTCTTGGTTTCTCTAATGCTCACTCATTTATCTCCCCAGGCCTCTCATGGCTGATGGATTGCCATCCATCCTGCTCCAGGCCCCACATTGTGCTCTGCAGGCAGGGCTCCAGAGGCAGAGCAGAGAGAACAAAGCTGCAGCCTGAGTGCTGGGCTGCTCAGAGCTGGGGACGTGCTCACCCTACAGATGAGCTGCTCATCTGCTGGGACATGCTCAAGGCCAGGTCCCTCCAAGGAGCACAATAGCTCCTTTTCTTTAATTTCTGAGTCAAACCTTTGACACCTTCATTGATAAAAGAAAGGAGATTCCTGTTGGACCCATAGCTTCCAGAGGAGCAGAGTACTGCTCTCCAGCCCATCCACACACCTTGGTTTATAGGAAGTGGTTTGGAAGCTGTCAGTCCCAACTCCTAGGGATTCTCTGGGCAGGAAGAGCTCTGTCATGGAAGTGGAGACACTTCCATGACTCCAGCAGAAAACTGCTGTGAGTTCCTGTATTCACACACCACAAGACACTAAGGCTGTGTGGTCTGTTCCCCTCAGGACCACAAAGTCCCTCATAGAATTCTCCTGCATTCCTGAAGCCTCTGGAGCAAAAAAAACCTCATTTCAGGGAGCTCCTCTGGGTCAGGACTCAATGCTTACATTAGGGTTAACTACATGGAGCTACAAGAGACAAACAAGCAAATGGAAATGTGAAATATTCAGTCTTTCCTTTTCATCAAAATGTAGCAAACTTCACTCTGTAATCTTTGCCATCTCTTGAGTGCAGGATCAGGGATATCATTAAAAAAGACTCTGTCACTTGAGCTGCACTTCATCCCTGTGCAGAGACAGAAGCAACAGTGGCTTCCATCCTGTGTTATGGAAGATTTTGTGATGAGTCCTTTATTAGAGGTTCACAAGTTCTGAATGTTTCAGCTTGCCTCCACAAGAGAGGGCAAAACAAGATTGTTTGGCTTTAGCCTGAGGACCTGGGACCTCCCAAGTGCTGGAACATGGATAAAGAGGAGTGTCTTGAGGGTAGATGGAAAAGCAAAGTTTTGGAAGAGACCACTTGTCTTGTACCGCCCAGGCTTCCAGAGAATTTCTGCTCCCTGTGCTCTGTGTTTGGATTTGTCCATTCCTATGCAGGAGAAAGGTCACAGAGCCAGGTTATGTCAACTGCTGCTCCCAGGAGCCCACTGCAGAGCCCTCTTTGTTTACTGGTGCTCTGAGTAAAGACATAAAACAAATACAGCAGCCAGATGAAGGTATTTTTAAAGAGAAAAAAAAAAAAAAAAAAAAAAAAAAAAAGGCAAACCAGGAAAAAGAAGCCACCTTATGAAGCTTTGGAAGCTGGTGCTGGAAAGACCAGGCTGTGAGATTCCACAGCACATTGTTTCTACCTCTTCACCATCTCTGCACACTTCCTTGAAACCTCTCAGTCTTCCAAGAGAGAAAGCTGGAAAATGGAAGCCTGCTCACTCCTGCCACACAAACCTACAGCTTCCTTTTTTCTGTATGTGCCTCAAGGCTTCCCAGTTTTTCCCTGCACTGGACACAGGCCTGACTTGGGCCTCAAACAACTCATTCAGGACTGGTGGTTTCCAGACCATGTAACTCTGATGGATTGCTTTCTCTATAAAGCATTCAGAGGTTGTGCTGGTGTGAGCACTGCCAAGGAACATGAACCCAGCTTTGATCATTTAAGCGGTGTAATTATTAATTTGTAAAATCCACAATGTCTGGCATGTGCTCACCTGACAGATAGTCTTTGGGGAGAAAAGGATAAACACCTTGGTATCTGCTAAGGGCAATAAGTGTAACCCATCTGACTGTGACTTCACCATCTCTGCTTTCTTAGAGCAGTTAAGGCTTTGCCTCACAGGATTTAGGCTGAGAAACCTAAAGATTCAGGACTTATTTGTGTTCTGTACTGAGATACAATTCTCTGTGCAACAAACTTGGGCTCAAAATGTTTCACAAAGGATAAAACCTTGTTCAGTGAGTCACCTGATACTGGTCAGTGGGAGTGGCTTGCACAAATGGAGATGGCGGAAACAGACAAACATAAGTCACAGTACCCAGTGGAAATGGTGGCTTGGATCAGATTGGGGCAGGAGCCTTTTCCACTTTTGGATGAGAAAACTGAAAGAGGGCAACATCAGAGTCCCGCTGGCCCTGCTAAGGGATGATGGCCTGCTGTAAAGAGAATAAATTAATCAGGAACAAATCACGTTAAACACATTCTGGTTACTCTTCCTCTTAGGATTTTGGCTGTAGAAAGCAAAACATGTTAGAAGACATGATATACAAAAATACCCAGTCTAGCCTAAAACAAAGAATGAGATCTACATCCATGCAGGACCAGTGCATGAGCTCTTTGTGAGGCCTCTCAAGGATGAGCAAGAAATCATTGGGAACATGGAGGTGAACAAAGCAGGGAGGGACACACAGAGCTATCCTTCACTCTCATGCTGGCAGAGCTGTCTGCTCTGCAGGAGGTTCCCCAGACATGGATTAGGAAATCAGGTGAAGTCATCCCTGGGCTAGTCCTTGCCCAGTGACCACCACGAGCTGTTACTCACCTGTGGAGCCCTTGACAGTGGTGGGCTTGCTCTTGTGCCGTCCCTTCTCTGCCAGCAGGCTGATGGTGTACTCGGTGCCTGGCTCCAGCCCCCGCAGAAGGAAGGAGGTGCTGTCCACTGGGATCTCCACCTCGCTCTTCTTCCCAGAGGCACCGGTGTAAACCAGGCGGTAGTGGTCAAACTTGGCCACCGGCCTTCTCCAGCGCAGGGACAAGGTGGTCTCAGTGGGCTCGCTGACTTCCAAGTCCTTGGGGTTATCAAGATCTACAGGGTGAAAAACAAGCAAAGTTGAGGTGTCTCTAAACTGCCCCGAGAGAATTTTTCAGGCATCTGTAGAGGAATATTGTGGGATTCACATTCTTTGAACCTGAGAGGAGCAGTGAAAGAAGCAGAGAAAAGAATGATCAAAACAATTCTTATCTCATTTGCTGTGCCTGTGTTGTGCCAAAGCAGAATGCAATATGGAGATTGCTTACCCAGAGTGATGGTGTTTTGTTTCCTTGGCCTGTCAGGGCCAAGTGTGTGTGTGTCAGGACTGTTGGCTGACAGTCACGAGATGAGTGCAGTTGAGAGCAGTTAAGTGCTTAGCAAATTCAGTTTAGATGTAATGTAATATAGTGTAATATAGTATAGAATAATATAGTATAATAAAGTAATTAATTAGCCTTCTGATAAAATGGGGTCAAATTAATAATTTCTCCCTGCCATGGGGGTTGCTTTAATTACTATAGAATATCTCCACTGGGGGTCTGGCAGCAGCTCAGCACCTGCCCACCTTTGGGACCCTTTGAAATGGGTAGAGAATGATGATGTTCTCCTTTACAGACAAAACCAGAACAAATTTCTCCCACTTACACTTGAGAGGCAGAAAAAAAGCCTTCAGATAATTCACCTGGGAAAAGGGGGTATTGTGTGAAAAATTCTGGATTGGCAGGTCAGTCAGAAGCAACCTCTCTTTGTCACATCAACATTTTGGCCACCAGCATTCCTGCCAGAAACCCTGAGAGACAGAGGATGGCCAGAATGATCAGTATAAGTATAATTATCATTAAGGAGCTCACCTGGAGATGAAACTCCCAGAATATTAAGAGGAACAGGAAAAATAAGTCAGATTCAGAGGTCATGAACTTTGTGGGATTTTTTTTGTTTTCCTTGAGGGGAAAAGTAGCAAAATGAAATCAAGAACTTTCTAAAATATCGCTTCCAGTATCTCTCAGAAATGAAAGAGTGGCTCCACATGAGTTGCCTCCTCCAGAGCCCAGATGGGATCAGGACACTCACCAGTGCCAGCATTGATGGTAGCAGGAGCACTTTCCCTGTCATTCCTCACTGCTGTCACTCCAATGCCATATTCAGTTCCAGGTCTCAAACCTACAAGATGAGGAGAAGAAATATAAGTTCCTGTCCATATGAATATGCCTGCAGGCATTTGTTGGAATAAAGAAGGCTGAATGGATGCAAAGTAAGAGATCTGCTTTCCTCTATGCAGAGAATTGAGGTTTATGTTGGCCCTCCAGCTGACATGCTGCACACTGACACCAATGAATCCCACCCCTAGCACATGAAAATGCCTCTTGAGCTCGGGATGTGAAGCCACTCCCACAATGCTGCTTAGAACTAGGGGAACTGATTCGTTGGGTTCAGGGATGCCTGTGGAAGTGAAATGGTTTCATATCTTCTGCTGGCTGGTAAATCCATTTCACATGGCTTTCAGTTCAATTTGGTCTACTCAAATTATAGAATCAGGGAATAGTTTGGGTTGGAATGTACATTAAAGATCATCTCATCCCACCCCTGCCATGGCAGGGACACCTCCCACTGTCCCAGGCTGCTCCAAGCCCCGTCCAGCTTGGCCTTGGGCACTGCCAGGGATCCAGGGGCAGCCACAGCTGCTCTGGGCACCCTGTGCCAGGGCCTGCCCACCCTCCCAGGGAACAATTCCTAATTCCTAATATCTCATCTAATTTCAAATTTGTAATCTCTTATCCCCAAAAAATGTGCTTGAGATCACTGAAAACTTGTTTGTACCTCTAACGTATAGTGACCACAAGGACATTCTTTCTCCATGTCCGTGCCTTGGGGTGACAAAAACAATATGACATTACTGACAATCTCTCCATTCCCCTACCTGTGAGTGTAGCTCTGGTTGTGGCCTGGCTGCCCTTGGGCACCGTGATCTCCACGTGGTCCCCACCAGAGATGGGGGCAAACTTGATTCGGTAATTATCGACATTGGCGTGGCTGTTCTTCCACTCCAGGGTGATGCTGCTGTCAGTCTGGGACACCCGCTTCAGGTTCCTTGGAGCATCCAGGTCTGGAATCAACCAAGCAATAAATAAATAATTAGCAATATTTCTCTTCTGACAGCAGTCTCTTGTGGCACTGCTTTTTAGAGGGTGAAATGACCAATAAAGCTTCCTCTCACTTGATCCTGTTGTGTCTTAACTATGAAAGCCAGAGGTTTTCTAGCATGAAAAGCAGAGTTCACCAGCTTCAGTTCAAGAAATTTAACTTCTATCTCCTGAGACAAAAATAACATTTTCACTTGTAATAATTAGGTTTTATTACGAAATGGGTTTGTGGAAAAACATACTTGGATGAGAATAATTTTCCTTTACAAATACTTCATCTTTCAAAAGGTAAAAAGAGAAAAGAACTGGTCATCTCTAGAATTTCTGTTCAGTAACATCTTGCATTCATGGCTGGAAGGATCTCTAATTCTCAAAAAAAGGTGAATTATAGGGAGAAATTAAATGAACTTTCATTTTTCGCACCTACAGTAGCCTCAAATCCTGCTCTGAAATAACAACTGTATTTTAGGATGAAAAGGAATGTAATTAGCTGCTCTCTTAATGCATCAAGCCTTGATAACCTGCTAAAGGACCCACACTTTCCAAAAACATTCCCAGAATCACTGAGGATCACAGTAAATTTATAAAAGAATGGCAGGAAATATTTGCAGAACTGAAGAAGAAAAAAAAACCAAAACAGTTATCTGCTTCTAAACTAATTAGACAAAGACATATAAGATGGAAGAGGAACTATGGAAGATATTTAGCTCATCAGACAGATAAATGATCCAGAGGAATTTGCTTTTTGAAGTAGAGATTTAGGGTAAAAGACACAATAACCTAATTCCCATTTTTAAAATACATTTAGATTCTTGTGGGGCGGTCAAAATATTTTGGTGACCCAACAAGACATAAAAGGCACGGGAAATTATTCTCTTCTTTCATGTGCCTCTAAAATTGGGCTGGTTTTGTGTTGATCAGTAGCTGCCAACTCCAGCAACAAGACACAAACAGCACAGGAGGATGGGTGATCCCTGTGGCACCTTCCCAGCCCCTCACCTGTGACAAAGACTTCCTTCACAGGGTCACTCTCCATGTCCCCTCGACGAGAGACGAGCGTCACCTCATACTCCGTGTGTGGCCTCAGGTTGCCAATGGAATATTGGTTCTCATCTTCAGAGAGGTCAATGGTTGTCCTGTCCCCTGGAATGTCCTTGGGGCCATAAGTGAGCTCTACACCTTCAACTTCAGCCAAGGGTTTGGACCACGTAATGAGAGCCGTGGTGTCAGTAACATCTTTGGCCTCCACCTGACTGGGGGCATCAAGCTCTGTTACCAAGCAAAAAAGAGGGGAAAAGAGGCTTTAAAAAGGAATCTTGCCATGAAAAACACCCATATTCTTATGCTTTTAATTGGTGATTCAGGACCAAGTTAAAATTAGTATCCTCATTTATGCTCTTCCTTTGGTTCCTATAGTTTTAGACTCCAAATGGAATCAATCCATCAGAAGCAAATCCATCAAAACTCCTTCAAACCAGGAGATGCCAAAGGAAAGACAAGCAGGAACCCTAAGAGCTTCCCCACCTTCACACACTCTTCATGCAAATATCACCAGGATGAAACAAATCCTAGCTAGAAATTCTAGTTCCTGCTGATGTACGTCTTGAAAAAGGAATAAAAGTGCATGCTGCCTGCTACCTTCTAGCTGGACATAAATTTTCTTTCTGCTTCAAACAGGTAATGTGGAGAGGAATTATTTTTTCCTCACGTATTCATTAGCACTATTTCCTTCCCCCACTCCCATTAACTCACAGTGTAGAGCTTGACTTTCTCTTTGTTTACAAACCCCCAAAGAGCAGATGTTTTGTTGGTGGCCAACTAAAACCAGACCAAACACAGGCTGTGCTTACTTGTGGTGATGACTTTGGACAGGCCTGGTCCTCTGGTGTTGTTCTTCACTATATGGATGGACACATTGTACTGCTGCCCAGGTGCCAAACCTGGCTGCATGTAGGATGTCTCTGGCCTTTTCAAGCTGCTGGTTATGTCACCATTATCATCCTTTTTCTGGAACACATGGGACAATCAGTGAGTACAGACATAAAAATACAGGATTTTTCACTCTACACGTGAAAGTGCTTCCTCACCATATTATGGAAGACCAGCTCCCAGCCATCAAAAGAAAAGTTCAGAGGGTCCCACTCCACCTGGACAGATGTTTCCCGAACAGATTTGAATCTCAGGCCTTCTGGAGCAGGCAGATCTGTGGCAGAAGAAAGAGATATTCTCACATGAGAGCAAATAAATGGGGCACTGGGGTAGGACATCTTTCCACTTCTAGAAATATCTGCCAGGTGGGGATCTGCAGCTGAGGTGGTTAAGCTCTCCTCAGATCCAGTTATTGTGGCTTTGGAGAGACTTTCCTGAGATGGTTAAATATCACCTTAGAATAAGAAAAATTTTACCCTTGAAATCTCTTTTTTGTGCCCTCTTGAAAGAAGCCTGGTGTTAGTTTTGGAAGTCAGGAGAACTGAATCCTGCCCCCGCTTTCTACAAATGAGAGCTCAGTGACAGAAGTCAAAGAGCGCATTTTAATATTGGGATGTTTAGATATGACAGTGATGTGCACAAAACAAAAAGAAGATGAACAACAGAAGGACAGACAGGCCAGATCAAAGTTAAGATGTAGTAAATCACAACAAAGATGCAAAACAAATATAACCTCTACTTTAGCCAAAATAGTTTGAATTCAAGTGATTTCATATTGCTCTTTTATATGCTGCTACATTTAAATTTTTTTTCTCAGGAAGAATTACCAGAGTTTTTAAAATTAATATTATAGTAAAGAAATGTACATTACAATAAAGAAATGTGCATTTTAATAAAGAAGCCAGGGTTCCTAATTCACAAAGACGTCATACTGGGAGACACTGAGAACAGAAGAGCTTGTGAACTGCGCTTCTAACACAGTCACTGGTATTGGAAAAAAGTGCAAAATAGAAGTGCAGAAGGCTGTTTTTTCCAGGCCAACATTTGAATTGGAAGCAGAAAATACAAAAGAAATTATATCCCAAAACTGGACTGTAAATCAATACATCTTAACTGAAAATAAAAAATGCAGAATAAATACCCCTAAGAAAGGAATGCAAGTCAACACATACAATGTGAAAACAGAAAATGGAAACTAAGCAACACCCCAAAAGAGCGATGCAAATGGAGTAGACAAAAGGATGAATACAGGGAATATTAAACTCACATGTGGCTACCCTGGCGCTGACTGGAATACTCTTCTTGTTTTTCAGGATTGCAAAGACACGGATAAAGTACTCCACCCCGGGCTCCAGCTCGTGAATGGTGGCAGCTGTGTGGTTCCCTGGCACGGTGAACTGCATGTCCAAGCCACCACTGCTGGTGGGGACGTAGGTGACGAGGTACTCGTTGACGAGGTTCTCGTGCTTCCACTCCAGATTGACAGTTTTATCTGTCACGTTGGTCACAGTCAGCTCAGTTGGAGGAGACACTGGGAAAGGGAAAAAAAAAAAAAAAAAAAAAAAAAAGAAAGCGCCAAACCTAAGTTATAAGACGTTCTCAAGGCTCAGGAAATAATGACTTGTCCAGTTTCACATTTTCCCAGGAGCTGTTCCTAGGGCTCATCTCACACGCAGGGAATGGGGAAGGCATGTCCCACAAATTAGCTGCTGAGGAAAGGAATGCTCAGCTAATGGAGACTACAGACATTTCCAGAAGCCAATTTCTGCTCTCACACTTGCACACAACCTCTGGCTGACTGTGTTCCAGCTGCTCCTCTCATGGCTGCAGCACAACACTGCTATAGCTGGGTCCCAAGGGATTCAGATGTTTAATTCAACTGCCAGCATCATGTGATTGTAGAGCTGGAAGTCCTGGGATGTGCACATGTTTTCCAAAGTAAAATAAAATATTATTATTTGAGTAAATAATTGCAATAGATCTGCCTGTGCAAGATCACAAAGTGGGGTTTAGGCACCTTCCAGAAGGAGGAGATGAAGGATGGGAATTTCTTTTAAAGGGTATTCATTGTCTTTTGTAGTGTTCCCAATCCCAAAGTACTCTTTCATTACCAAAATTTACTTTCACAATTTCTCCCCCAGGATCTACTAAAGAAAATGACCTCATTTATGGTGTATTGCCTGTCATTATGAGGCTGCCAAAATTTTCAATCAATTTCCTTAGAGTCACTGGTCCTGGGAAACCAAGCATGTGACTTTATAGCTAAGTTTCCACTCCAGCTGATCCCATGATTTTCATCTGAGCTTCTGTGAGATCTAATATACACACATCCATATATATACATATACATATATGCATATATATATATATATATACATATACATATATAAATACACATACACTTGTGGAGAAGACTCTGGACCATTTCCCTTTTCTCCTTAGCTAGAACAGCTTTCTTCAGCTTTTTTTCCTAGCATCAAGACTATGAGAAACTGAAGGGTCATGGTGACAAATCCCAGCCAATACTGGCTACAGCATCAGTGATATTATGGTGGGAGCTGACATGGAGGTGACAAAGGCACTGCAACGCCATCAGCAGCCTGTTGTATTGATGACCACCAAAAGCCACCAGAAACTGCTACACTACTTAGTCCTAATATTTCAGGATGCCAAGAGCTACTGGTGTTGTTGCATCCCTGATCCTGCTGTTTGGACTATGTTGGAAAAGCATCAACAAGGCCCAGCACTATAGGAAACTTTCACAATGTGTCCAAGGCTGTTGGCTGGCCCAAGGGGAAGCAGTTCAGAGGGACACTGCACCTACCATCAGAGCAGTCATCCCCGATGTAGCCATCCTCGCAGACACAGCGCCCGTCCACGCAGCGGCCTGCGTTGTTGCAGTCATTGGGGCAGGAGCGTTCCCGGCAGTCCTCACCCACGAAGCCCTCGTGGCACACACAGCGCCCGTCGATGCAGCGCCCACGCCCGTGGCAGTTGTTGGGGCAGGCCAGCTCACCGCAGTCATCCCCTGTGAAGCCGTTGTCACACTCGCAGCGCCCCTCCACGCAGCGCCCGCGGTTGTGGCAGTCATTGGGGCAGCGCAGCTCAGCACAGTCCTCGCCCGTGTACCCCTCATCACACACACACTGCCCATTGACGCACAGCCCGCGGTTGTGGCAGTCGCTGGGGCACCGCAACTGGCCGCAGTCATCCCCTGTGAAGCCCTCATGGCACACACACTGCCCGTTCTCGCAGCGCCCGCGGTTGTGGCAGTCATTGGGGCAGCGCAGCTCCCCGCAGTCCTCCCCGATGAACCCCTCATGGCACACACACTGCCCATTCTCGCAGCGCCCACGGTTGTGGCAGTCGTTGGGGCAGCGCAGCTCCGCGCAGTCCTCGCCCAGGTACCCCTCGTGGCACACGCAGCGCCCGCCCACGCAGCGCCCGCGGTTGTGGCAGTCGTTGGGGCACCTCCTCTCGCTGCAGTCGTCGCCCACAAAGCCCTCGTAGCACACACACAGCCCGTTCTCGCAGCGCCCGTTGCCGTGGCAGTCGTTGGGGCAGGTGAGCTCCCCGCAGTCCTCACCGGTGAAGCCCTCCTCACAGAAGCAGGTGCCGTTCACGCAGCGCCCACGGTCGAAGCAGTCGTTGGGGCAGATGAGCTCGCTGCAGTCCTCGCCGGTGTAGCCCTCGTCGCACACGCACTCGCTGTCCACGCAGCGCCCGCGGCCATGGCAGTTGTGGGGGCACAGGGGCACGCTGCAGTCGTCACCCACAAAGCCCTCGTGGCACACGCATTGCCCGCCCACGCAGCGCCCGTGGGCGCCGCAGCCCTGGGCGCAGAGCTCCTGGCCACAGTCCGGGCCCGTGTAGCCCTCGAAGCACACGCACAGCCCGTCCACGCACTTGCCCTGGTCGTTGCAGTCGGAGGGACACGAGGCCTGGCTGCAGTTGGGGCCCTTCCAGCCCGGCTCGCAGATGCAGCCGCAGATCTCAATGCTGTAGTTGCCGTGCCCGCTGCAATAGGGCGTGGTGTCCAGGCGACCTGTACCAACGATCCCAAAAATCATTACTCCCAATGGCACTAGGATGCCTTAGGCTGGCGTGGCTCATAAGCCCCAAAAGGGCTCTGATTTTCCTAGTTCCCTACAGGACATCAATTTTTTAAAGTTTTTAAATGAGAATCTCTCTTTCTTTCTCCAGCTAGATTTACCTTACCAGAAAAGCTTTAAGTCGCTCTAATGCCAAGGCAGATCCCCTGCCAGCAACTTTGTAATTGAGCATACTGAATTCTTCCTCCCTTCTCAAAATCCTCTCCCACTGACTGAGCAGCTTTCCTTACTGCTTCATTAGGGCATGCACTATGGAACATCATTCATTCATTCACCCTAGAACACAAAAAGTCAGGGAGCACATTGTGTCATGAGCTGTATCAGCAACTCGGAGGCTGCTCTGAGCTCAGAGGGACACATTGCACTGAGTAAGACTTGTATTTCTTGTCTTACATGACTAACCCCTTCCCTCAACTTAAAAATCAACCAGACAGACGCATTTTTCCCTCTTCTATAACTATTTGTGCTTGTCTATTGCCTTATGTCCTGCTGTATTTTTATTGGTCTCTACTAAAGAAAACTTGGAAGCAAAAATAGTTACATTGGCAGCTTCCTCAAGGGGACAAAAAGTGGAGCCAAGAGCTTGGACTGTGAGTTTTAGTCTTAACTCTGACACAGATTTACCATGTTCAAGTGCTGTCCATGCTCAATGCCACAGCTACAAAGGGTCCCAGGCCAGCTCCTGACCCACAGATCCATAAAGCTGCGGAACTGTGAATGAATGTACCTTGCACGCTGGCCAAACACATTCCCAGTTTTGATTACGTTTCAAATTTAAGAGGTTGACTTGTGCTCCTTCTAGAAAGAGATTGCAGTATCACTCTAAACAACATCAACAGCCAGCACAAGAATTTCCCCCAAGAGCAGCTCCCCAGCCTGCCTTACCTTCTACTGCCTGGGAATTAGGACAGCATCCAGCCCCGCTGGCACACTGCTCCCGCAGGGAGGAGACCAGCCCCTCCAGCTCCTCTAGTCTGCTCAGCAGATCCTTAATATCTGGGGCAGCTGCACAGCCACAAGCCCGGCGGGGAATGTTAATCCTGTGCGTGAAGACAATCTGGTTCCCCTCATTCACCGTGTGCTCCTCGTAGTTCTTGACGGGCTCAATTTCCCCCTTCAGGTCGGCGTCGCCGCTCGCTGTGTCCAGGTCCACAGAGCAGAGGGAGCCAACAGGCAGCTTAATGTTGTAGACGTGGTTGAAAACCACAGGCTGGTTATCCTCTGGCAAGGTCACGTTCAGGCCAGCCTCCCTCTTCTGCCGGATAGTTCTCTTGATGAGTCCTCCAGTGACATGCTGGGACAGCAAAGCGAGGATGGCACAGGCCAAGACCTGGCTGGGGAGTCCCATTGTGGTGCCCAGTTCCCTTTCAAAGCTGAGAGAGTCTTAGGTCTGCTTGGCCTTTGTAATCTGCAGCAGAAATTGGAGAGCCAGCACAAACCAAGCTGGAGTTCCTTGTCTTTCCCGGTGCGTTTGTTCCCTAAAAGAAGAAGGAACAGTGTAAGGGATTAACAGCAGCTACACCACCCAGCAAACATGTGACCCTGCTCCTGTGCTGCATCCTCAGAGAACAGGACCATCACACTTCATCCAAGCTGCTGAACTTGTTATGATGTATAATAACAGCCATTTTCCAGGATCTCAGTGTGATTCTGAAGGAAATGCCACCAGAAATGAAGAAGGCTGCTGTTATTTCCAGGTTAGAGCAAATACAGTGGGTTGTAGAAAGTTTAACTGCCTGAAGCAGAAGACTGGGGCAAAGATGCCTGCTGAGTCTCAACTCAGCTGAAAACTGAGGTAGATAAAATAAATGTATGTTCTGTTGTGATTTAACCAATGTTAAATTCTGTGTTTCCTTCATCCCTCCACTACTTGAAGGCTGCTCAGGGTTGGACCATGGAAGAAAGCTGAGACTTTGTCAAAAGGTGCATCCACACCACCAAGTTCATTCTATCCCTTTTCTATATGTTTCAAATTACTCCAAGATTGCTGTGGAATCTGAACTCCAGAGCTTGTAGTTCCACAGTAAGTTCCACTATATGATGATTTATCAAGAGCATGAAGATAAATGGAACTCTCTGCAGGTGGAAGGTTCTGGTGTCAGCACTTGTATCACAGGGATATTTTAGTATAAACGTAGTGAGACACAGGAGAAGCAGAGACTTCAACAACAGAGACAGCAATAAAACTACATGTGTAAAAATGCCTTTTTAGCAGCCAATATCCATTTCCATCAGGCAGCATTTCCCACTGTCTGATCTTTCCTCAGCTGCAGCACAATAACTCGTGTACAGTTACAAGCACCTGGCTGGGCTCTGCAGCTCCTCCTGAAACTCATTCCTTTCAATTAGCTCCACTGTTTCCTCTTCCTCCTCAGTCTGTGCCTGTTCCTTTTCAATGGAATGAGCCAGGGGAGTGGAAAGACATCCATTGACTTCCATGCAGGATCAGCCCCTCAGCACGTAGGGTAAGGAGCCAGAGCAGTAATGGACTGCCTGAACAAGCACACCTAATAAATGTCATCTCAGCATTTGTTTTCCTTCCCACTCCCAGAAGAGCTTGGTTTAATGGTTAGATCAGTGTCTGTGCTTTCAGTGGTTGCAAGCTATGAAATGCCAGTAATGGAGGTAACAGCAATTTATTTTCTGAACATCATAGTTTTGATGCTAATTTATTTGTCAGATGAGAGACCAGCCTCTTCCACCCTTCTGATTCCCCCAACGTGGAGGGATTGTTTTTCCCATGCTATCCCAGCTGCTTTTGTGAGGGAATGACAATAACACATCAGACACTTCAATGAAGTTTAGTGGGTTTTGTAGGGAATGTTGAGCTCACAGAGGGCAGAATTCACCCCTTTATACTGGGGAATAATTCAGAAGTAAACAAGAAGCAGGGAAGGTTTTTTCCTTGTTATGGAAAACCATTCAGCTTTAAGGCATTTCTAACACTTACCCCATTTGCTCAAATATTTCTGCAAGCCGTGCCTGCACCGGAAGAGATCACAAGGTTATTAATAAAGAATAACAGAGACAGACATGGTCCAGGTCTCATTTCTGATTCAATGCCTAAAACGGGTTGCCAGTTCATGAAATGTGTTCAGGACTGTATTTGAAGTGAGATTTTAGTCTTGAGCACTCCACTTGGGCTTTGCAAAGTGCTTGCCATGCAATTCCATGTGCTGCTATGCACCTTTTGCCCTAGGACAAGGTCATACAGCTAAAACTGGTGCCTGGCCTTCAAGTAGTCATTGAAGGGGCAGACTGCTTGACAGATGGATCACCAATGGAAAATGGAAAAAACTGGAGGCAGCTCTGCATCTCATTCTCACTGAATTTTAGTGAAAGTTGAGCATCCATTTCCTTATGGCTTCTGTAAATCCCAACCCACAGGAATACAGGCCTTGCCCAAACCAAGGAAATTGCACTTTTTTCTGCTGACCAATGTGAGCTGACAAATCACTTAATCATGGTAGAAACTTTAATGACTTCTTTAATATGCCTAAAAAATTACAAACCTGCTCTGGCAAGAGCCACTGTCACTGTCATCTTCACTACTGGTGAAAGCCACATGAACCCCAGGACTCTGAGTGGACACTTGCTGCATTAGAGGCAGCCAAACCTCTCAGCTCATAGATGAAACTGGAAGAATTAACATGTCTGGGCTGACATCCTTTTGAAGTTTCTGGAGAAACATCGTGGTGGTCTAGGAGCAGCATTCCTTGCCTGCTCTGTGACCCCTGTGCTTTGACACCTCCTGTGATGTCTGAGCTAATTCATCCCCATCAGGTGTTTCCCATCCCATCTGCCACCGGCCCAGCATGGTTAGCTGAGCTCCACTCCTGCATCTGACATCTACAAAACAAGACACCTTCCTCCAGTTCTTTATACATCAGCCATGGCCTTGGCAGGGAGAACAAAGAGGACATCCTTCTCTCCAACCCCAGCTCCTCAGACACATCCAAACAACAGCTCTGACCACAATCGACCACCCGGGAGCAGGAGAGAAATGAAGCCACAGCGACTGCCAGGCTCTGTTGTCTCTTCATTTTCCCTCCTCCTCCCTTCAGAGCAGCTCGTGTAGATTGTATTTTAAACCTACCTCTTGGAGAAATCCTCTTGATATTTTCTTTGCAGACATCAGCTTTTATTTTTAGAGGCACCTGAAAGTCTTGCAGCAAAGTTTGGCAAAAAATGACGGTTCCCAGCATGAGTTTGGCCTTGTGGTCTGTTAGAGGAGCTGGGTCATGTCTGACATCTCTCAGGTACTTTGAGAGGTTTGTATGACCCAGACTGTGTCTAGTTTTACAAATATTTTGTCTAACAGGGAACACCTATCATCCTAATGAGCTGTGCCCTCAGGTCTTCCTGCCACCCTGACTACAGAAATCCCGGACATGATGATGTGGATGATCTGCAAAATGTTCTGCTTGTCATGCAGGACAATAAATCTAGAGCTTGTGTTGTCCCCATCTGGACACTGGTACCTTCCCACCCTCCTTGGGCAAGAGCTTTGTCCTGCTCTCCTGCTCCCCAAGGCACAACCTCAATATAAATAAGAAAAAAAGTTGTTGTGGCCTCTCACACGTCTTAAATATCTGATTAAAAAACAGAGATTATGAACTGAGAAGCAAATTGTTAGCATCTCTGCAGTACCAGCTGGGGAAAAAGGAGATTCAGGTAAGATTTCTTACATGAACATTAACTTTAAAAGTTAGATTTTAACCAAAGAGCAGAAAAAGGCTGTTTCTAGAAAACACTCCTTAAAAACTTGATCACTGCCTGGTGATAGATTTAATATGTAGTGGAGGTAAGGTGGACTGTCAACAGCACAAAGGGAAGGAATAATTTTCATTTCCACTGCAGCCCTTTCATCTGAAGATCTGAAAGCATGTCACAGTCTGGCTGTAAAAAGCTGAAAAAATGTTATTAAAAAGGGTTATTTCTTTATTTAGACATCCTCCCTTCCCCTCACCCCCTCCCGGCATCAGAACTTTTTCAGGACCTTTCCGTTTAATTAGAAATTTGTTTCTTAATAGGAAATTTTCAATCAATCTTGAAAAAAATCCCCAGGAATCCTGACTCCTGGGGAATACTAAGAAAAGGCAATGCATGAATATTTCCCTTCCCCAAAGCCATATTTGCTGGAAAGCAGCAGGTGTGAGAAACTAAATTAATGTCTGCATACTTTAAAGTTCTGGTGTAGCACTTCAGTCTCTCCTGAACGTTCAGGAGTGGCACAATTGTGAGATGATTTGTGGGTATGCGGAATGATAAATATGCAGATGAGAGCCCTGTGCAATTTTAATCAAAACAGATTGCAGTAAGGAAGGAATGGAGGTGTTAAAAACTATCTCAGCTGTCCTTCCTAACGAAGGCAGAAGGCTGATTAGATTTGCTCAGACACCCTCTACATGTCATGACTTGGAAATTAGACATGAAAATGGCAGGGAAAAAAGAGAGGGGGGATAAAAAAAGGAAACAATTCCTGTCTAAGCAGATACTTCCTACATTTCAGCAGGAAGGGATCAAATATTGTCAGCACCATACTGGATTCAAGCACATCTTGTTACAATCTGGGTAAAATAGCAGCAGGCTGGATTGTGACAGGGAGGAAGAGTCAGCTGGAGAAGAGCCAAAGCCCTCACCAGGGAACACAACAAGGAGCATTTTGAGGTTTGTAAATTGCTAACCCCAAAACAGCTCTCTGTGATCTGTTAACTGCAGGAAGTTCACGTTTCCAGGGTTTCCACCAAGGTGTGATCCGTGTGCTCCCTGCAGCCTGGAGTGCCCAGCAGGACACGTGTGGAGGCACTGACACCACGTTATCACTGCCCCCCTCCTCAGCTACTGCCACAAAGACAAAAAATAATTATCTCCTGGGGATATTGATCTGACCTGGACCATTCCCTGTCTGCAGACATGGGGAATTGGGGCATTTTCTGCAAGGAATGCAAGCAGTGCTGTTCCACAGGACTCATAAATTGAGACCAGAGGGCATTTTCACAAGGCAAGGCCTCAGAAGATGCCAGCCCTCAAAGCCAGAGTGCTGGGCTGGTTTTACCAAGAGCCTGTGACTCCTGGGGCTCTGGGAATCTACTCCAGAAAAACTGGATTAAATCTAAAGCCAATTGAAATGCTCTCAAAGCAAGGGACTGGGGGGGGGGTGGGCCCTGGAAGTTTTGACGTGTCAGGCCAAAACATGAACAGCTCTGACTTCATCATCTTCCACTGCTGTTTCCACACATTCATAACGGCAGAAAATAATTTTCTTTCCATTCCCAATTCCAACAGGGTGAAGGAATCAGCAGGGATACTCAGTGCAGGTCAAACTACATTAAATCACAGTGGAGAGCAGAAATTCATAACAGTCCTAAGCCATCAGGCCTGAATCTTTTCAGCAGAAATGATCAAAGCCAAATTGTTGCCTTCCCCCCCCCCCCCCCCTTTATTTACATTTTATGCATTCTAAGGAGAGGAATTT